TCTTACTGAGCATATAACACTCCCCTATCTCCTCAGCTTAAAAGAACTAACAGAATCCAAGGGAGCCTGGCTCCCATTATACCAGAGAGGAGAGTGTGCTAAAGGTAACCAGAAGAGCTACTGCAAGGGTTGAGTCTGCATTATCTCTGTGCTCACTCGCCCCTCTGTTCCTTGTTATAAGGATTTTTTTTTTCTCCCTCTCAGGATGCCTTAAGGGCAGGTCTAGTAAGGCATGAGGATCTGGGGATCAAACCACTGAGCCTGACCCCTTTGCTTAAGCAGGCACTTAACCAATTGAGCTAACAGGCAGGCCCCCTGTTCCTTGTTATAAAAAGCCCATACCTACCTGTTCTGTCCAGGGGAGATGATGATCTGAGGCAGATAGGCCCCTCCATCTCCTCAGAGCTAGCTTTTAGCTTTTTTTTTTTTCTTGGTGGACAAGCTGGCTTTCAATAAGTCCTATTTCCTGCTTATCAAAAAATACATGGCCTTCTCTGATTTGGCGATGAGCAAATGGGGATGAACCTAAGCGGCTGCTAACAGTTTTGGCCAGCCACACAGGAAGTAGATCCCAGCTCCTGAGGGGCATGTGTCCAGCAGGAACGTGGGGAAAGTTGCACCTAGAAATCTCCCTCCTTTACGTTTGTGACATCAGCTGCCTGTACTTTTTTCTTTTCTTTCTTTCAGACAGAATCTCCCCATTAATCCACGCTGGCCTTGAACTCACTATGTAGCCCTTGCTGACCTCCAACTTGTGGTGATCCTCCTGCCTCAGCCTCCAAGTGCAGGGATTACAGGGGTGCATCTGTTATTGATAAAAGGAAAAAGGTTGTTTGGGGAACTGATGGAGCCTGTCTAGTTTCCTGTGCAAAGTGGACTCTGAGTGTTGCTAGAGCTTTATGTTCACATGCTTAGGTTTGTTTGCTTGCTGTTGACCAAATCAAAGTCATGTATTTTGACCTTTTAAAAAAAGATTTATTCAAATCTAGCTCAGTGGAGCAGTCTGCACACACAATATCCAACACCCACAGCTCTAAGGAGGAAAGGGTCACTGTGGCTACATCTGGGAGCTTCAGCAGGCCCCAAGGCAGGGCAGCATGACAGAGGAAAGCTGGCTTGGGGCGGGTGGGCAGGAGGGGCACATGAGGGTGGGATACAGACTGATCCATGGGTGAGTAGGACACCCCACGATCCAGCCGCTTGTGAGCACGTGAGCTTTGGGGGGGGTCATCTAGATATCAACTGTAATGGGGCCCATCTCCCTGTGTACAGGGAGGGGGCTACAGGTCTTTTATAGAAAGGAACAGGCAGGGGGAGTGCAGCCAGTGGGATCTCCACTCTTGCTTTAACGCTTCCAGCCACGCTCAGCTTAAGTTTATTCTCTTCTTTCTAGGGGAAAGGAAACCTGGCTGCAGCCTCCTGGGGCTGGAGGCATCTGTGTAATCTCTGTCACTTCCGCTGGGCTGCGGAGAAGAGGGGGTGTTGCTTATGTGCTCAGCAGGAAGTGTGGAAAATTTGCTTATCTCTAGAAGAAAAAAAAAAAATCTAACCTTCAAAGTTCCATTCTGCAATGCCAGTTGTACAGGAACAGACTATCTGGACCATGTGGCCCTTCTCTTAGGTTATTGAGAAGTACCCTTGGGGTGAGGCCCCCGCCTTCACCATGCGTGGCCATTTGAACCTCCTGGGGGTCATTGTGGGGCACTGGTTGGTATAAGAAGAGATTTAGAGCTAGACAACATTGCCAGGCATTTGTTTTGTTGGTTTGGAGCACTGGTTTGTATTGGCTTGCTTTGATATCCTTTCATTTGTTTTCCTTTCTTTTATCTTCTTAGAACCATATTTATTTTAGGATAGGCATCAGGGTTTTGGTGTCATCTAGAATTATGGAATTATGTTAGCCATGGGGGGGGGGGTTCAAGCCTTTTTGATGCTTCTTTGTGAGGCAATATAGAGTTTAAGGTTTCCAAACCACTTATGGACAAAGGAGAAGTTTGGATTCAGTGATCTTAAGAGGCTAGAAACCTGGCAGTGTATTTGAAGAGCTCCATTGTAAATTGTCTCGGGATAAAGGTGCTTGTGCTACTTTAAAGCTCCCTAGAGAGTTTTAGTTCCTTGTGACTTAGAAAATGATAATTTTCTTGTGAAAAAACATGGCCCGTATAACTTAAAGCATAGGGGCCGGGGAGATGGCTCAGTAGAACAAGCGCTTCCCTGGCACGCGCCAGAACCTGAGTTCAATCCATGGTTCCGGGGAGGGAGGGGGACAAACAAACCTAAAAGCACACTAATTTCACATAACTGTCCTCAGTTTTGGACAGGATAACACCCACACCTTTCCTTGCCCTGTTTTGGATTCGTACAAGTACAAGCAAGTGGCTTCTGCACCCTCTGACCACGCAGCTGCGGGGCTAACGTTGGCCAGTTTATTGAGGTTTAATTTCCCCTTATTTTGGTCATGCACCCTTGATTCATTCTAAACTAACTGTTTCAGAAATATTTGTCAAGGGGCTGGAGGTCAGCTCAGAGGCATAAGCACCTACCTGGCAAGCACAAGCACCTGAGTTCGGTCCCGGTCCCAGATAGCCGCTCCGTGTGGGCCCTGGATGATCAAGGGGGCTGTGTGGGCCCCGGATGCCCGGGAAGGCCATGTGGGCCCCGGATGCCCGGGAAGGCCATGTGGGCCCCGGATGCCCGGGAAGGCCATGTGGGCCCCGGATGCCCGGGAAGGCCGCGTGGGCCCCGGATGCCCGGGCGCGCTGCCTGGGCCCCGGATGCCCGGGAAGGCCGCGTGGGCCCCGGATGCAAGCGCCCACCTTACGGCCGCAGAACCTGCGTGAGGCGCGTGGAGGCGCGCGCCTGTAATCCCGGCACCTGGCCAGGGGGATCCGTGCGAGTTCGAGACCCGCCTGAGGGCTACAAAAGTGAGTACAAGGCCAGCCCAAACTGCTTAGGGAGACCCCTACCTCCCGCCCTAAAAAACACTTCTTTTGTCAAAACTTGTCTGCTGAAAATTGGCCTTGTCGCCTCCCGCCTCCGTTCATCACTTAAGAGATGGCGGAACGTGACCACAGATTGCTTGCCGTTGTGGCGATTTGGTTGGTTTGTTGGTTTGCTTGCTTCTGTGGGAAGCACTGTTCCTAAACTGGTTTATTTTTTCATACTAGAAGCTCTGAGCCATCCTCTGAATTTGACCAAAATGAAAAATTCCTTTAACCCTGGGAGATTTTTTAGTTAACTGAGACCTATACAAAGTTAAAGCAGGAAAAAAAAATCTTCAGGAAATTCAAACACAAATTAACTGGGCAAGCAATCTCCAAGAATCCTACCTTTTTTTTTTTTTTTTTTTTTTTTTTTTTTTTTTGAGGCAGGCCCTCCCTATGTAATGCAGGCTGGCCTTAAACCCACAGTGGTCCTCCTGCCTCGGCATCCCCCAAGTGCTGGGATTCCAGGTGTTTGCCACCAAGTCCAGAAAGCTCTTTTCAGACATGCAAATTTAGGGTTAGATATGGCTTAGGACTATAAGAGAACAATTATGTCAATAGCATAAACTTTTTAAAGGTTTAAAAGCTTGTTTCATGTGTGTTGGCATGCATGTGTGTATGTAATATCTATGTGTATACTTGTGTTTGTATGTCATTTAGATGATAGCAGATTAGTCTAAAATTAAAAGTACTCAGTAATTAAGAAAGCATAAACCCGAATGTCTGTTAGTCCTTGTGACTTTACCAAATGTTTAAAAGATAGAAGTATCTTTAAAATTGTTAATCTTGGTTTGCCAGTGAGATAGCTCAGCAGTTTAAAGCACCTGCTTAGGCAAGCTCACAGGGACCTCAGTTTGATCCCTGGCAGCACCACATGCCACGCCAGTCCCGCCTCCAGGGTGGGCTGAGCACAGCATAGGAAAAAAAAAACCCAAACCTGTTAACCTATATTTTTGCCTGTTAGAAAACTAAAATTGATGTTTGACTTTCAAAAGAGAATTTCCAGTTTTATGAAGGTTATAAAAAACTAAAAAGCAAAAAAGAAAATTGAAAACTTTAGAGTTTGTTAAGATCAAGACCCTTGGGGGTCAGAGTTGAACGCTGAGGTAAGGTGACACATATGTTAACATAACTCTGCCTAGACATTCTTTTATTTTATAGTCTACATTGTTTAACTTCTCAGCAATGTTATGGAGCAGCTGTTAGCATCAAGGTTGTTTCTGGTATTAGCAGAAAGTATCCGAGGGACAGTATTTTGCCAGTTCCAAATACTGGTTAAAATAGTCTATAGTTTTTAAGTTCCAAAATGCTCATTAAAGCAGGTGCAGGGCCTGGGGGTTCTATTCCCAACCCTACGATGCTGGCCCTGCCCCCGGGGCACGCTGAGAAGGCAATTGAGACTGGGTGTGGTGGTGCACACCTGGAATCCCAGCTCTTGGGAGGCTGTAAACGGGTGGATCCCTACGATCCAATGCAGTAGTGAAACCCTGAACACCCTGTAGATCCTTCTCTAAAAAATACAAAATGCTCACAGGACCATTTGGTCAACCAAGAGTGGCTTACAGCAAGAAGAACAAATGAACTTAAGTGTACGAACCTGAGTAGCCAGTCACAGGGGAGAATTTCTTTTTCTTTCTTTCTTTCTTTCTTTCTTTTTTTTTTTTTTTTGTATTTTGAGCAGGGTCTCAGTCAGTCACTGAGTCACCGTGCTCAGGGGTGGGGCTGTGACAGCATGTGATACTGGGAGATCGAACCCCAGTCTGTGCACTTAGCCTAAGCAGGCACTTAGTCTGCTGAGCGATCTCACCAGCCCTTCCTGGAGAAGCATTTTATTTATTTGTTTGTTTATTTATTTATTTATTTATTTATTGGCAGAACTGGGGATTGAACTCAGGCCCTTGCACTTGCCAGGGAAGTGCTTATTCTACTGAGCCATCTCCCCAGCCCCGCAAAACCAAATCTTTTCTGGGTTTCATTTATTTAATCTATGTTTTCCCTTCTTCTCTCCCCTCCCAGGAAAAAATAATGAATGTCAAAGGAAAAGTAATTCTGTTAATGCTGGTTGTTTCAACTGCAGTTGTTATGCTCTTGGAATACATCAACAGGTAATTATGAAGCGTGATGAAGTGGTAGTGGTGCGTGTACCACTTGGGCTCTGCTGTACTGGGGCCAGCCAGGTTACCAAGATAAATTAAAAGGAGCATTCGTTGAACACTCCCTAAATAAGGGATTTGGATCCCTTCCTGCCTTCCTGAGTTCTGGATTATTTTTATAATCACCAGAGACTTAAGTAAATTCCAAGTAATTATGTTTTCCCTACTCTTTCCTATTATCTTGATATTTGTACTGGTGGGTTAGGCCCAGGGACAGTGAAGTTGGATAAAGACCAAAGTATAATCTTAAGTAGTTTGTTTGATCAGATATGGAAATTACCTTTAAGACATTTCAGACAGGAATTCCGTAAGAACTCCACCCTGAATTTTGCAATCCTGAATATTTGTAGGATCTGACAGAGCCATTCGAGTGGATGACTTGCTGCAAATATATACACTGAGGGCTGGTGATTCATATGTGCCTGGTCAAAGCTCACTCATTTTCTCTCTCCCTCTCTCCCTTTCTCCTTCTCTCTCCTTCCTTCCTTCTGGAAAGCAGAATCAATTAAATGCTGTGTTTTCAAATTTCATTGTGCCTTCAAATACATGAACTACATCTGTGCTTTTATTATTTTTTTTCTTTTCAAAAAACTTAGTTTAGAGTATAGTAATAATTGGTAAAATATTAGAAATGGTACACATTTAGAGGACCAAGATGAGAGGTTTTCAAGCATGGTTTTTGTATTATACATTGCTGTCCTTGATGTAGTTGCTTAGATCACAGGTATCAGCATACAGAGTTAGTCAAGGTGAAAAATTCTACACATTAACTACTATTTTCAAAAAACTGATGGAAATTATTAGTATACTAATACTAATAATAATTAGTAGTAGTATGATCATACTAATAATCATCTCAGCCATCCTGTATATATAATTGTATGTTTTTCCCCTTTTTTCCTATCTTTTCTTTCTCTCATCTTTGTTCTTTAATCCTTAAGTTCAGTTTCTTTCTGTTTTACTATATCTATTATACCTTTCAGATTTTATTTCTTCTTTCAGGTTCTTACACTAGTGAGACAATACAACATTTACACCTGTGGGTCTGATTTATTTCACTTATGAGTATAGCTTCTTACTTGTAAAGGCTTGTTGTGGACATTTTAGCCAGAGAGGCTTCAAGACTGAAAGAAGTCTCTACGAGCAGCTACAGAAAGGCATGAGGCTTTCACCCAAGTGAAACTGGTAAAGCTCATCCTTTAGGTGCAAAGCATCTGCAGTAAACTGACTTGTGCAGGGTTGGCCTGGCACCGTTAACATTTCCATAGTGAAGTGTTTTTAATTTTTGCAGTACTGAGGTACTAAGTTGCAGTACTAAACCCTGAGTTAGGCAAATGCTTTACTGTTGAGCTACATCCCCAGCCTTCCTTTTTCTCAAATTTTATTTGGAGGCAAGTCTTGCTCAACTGCACAGGCTGACCTCTAATTTGCATTCCTTCTGCTTTAGCCTCCTGAATTGCTAGGATTACAGATTGTGACACGGTGCAGGGTTTAGGGAGGTATTTTTTGTGCCCAAATTCAACATGGTAGGCTGGATTAGTATGTGAATATTTTGTCTCCACGCTACTATTCTTAACATTTGATGACCTAGCAGAACTGTCTTGGCTATCAAAAAAGGAACTGCATCTTTAGATATATCTATAGTGGGAGAAAAACTCCAGAATGCAGAAGCAATTATTAGTCTTAAAGGTCTAACCACTTATAGAATGTTCTTTTGTTTCATTCTGAATAGCTAATTTTAAGAAAAATGTCAGACTAGGGTAAAATGAAATTACTAGGCCTGGAAGAGGCATCTTTTGAATTGAAGAAACTGGGTGAAAGATGAAATGACTCAGAGCTGGATGGTGGGAAGCTGGCGCTCCCTCAGGCACTTGAGAGTTAAGGAAGTGTCCTGGCTGGGTTGTAGGACAATGCTACCTGGAATGGTCATTTTTTATTCTTTTTTCTTTCTTTCTTTCTGAGACACAGTTTCACTATGTAGTTCAAGTTGGCCTTGAACTCACTTTGTAGCCCAGGGTTACCTCAATCTTGAACTCATGGCAATCCTAAATGCCTTAACCTCCCTAGTGCTGGGATTACAGACATGTACCACCATACCTGGTTGGATGTGTACTTCCTCTGTGAACTTGGACTCTATCCCTCAGGTTTTCTACCTTTAAAAATGGGGCCAATAATAGTACCTGCCTTCTAGGGTTATTGGAAGCTAAGAAAGTTATTGTGTAGAAAATAGTTGGGGCAATAACTAGAAGGGGCATAGACACTCAGTAATTGCAAGGGCCACCACCATCATCCCCACCACCACTACCGTCCCCACCATCGCCATCACCACCATCCCCCCCATCCTCTTTACTACCATAACTACCACTTTCATCACCTTAGCTCAGGTCACATCACAAGATCCCATAAGTTGGCTGGCTTTATCAACAGGGTGTTATTCCTCACAGTGTAGAGGCTGGGGAGTCCAAGGACAAGGTGCCAGCTGGTTTAGTTCCCCCATGAGTTGCTCTTCCTTGGCAGATGCCACCTCCTCCCTGTGTCCAGACTGTTGGAGAGCAAGTGCATTATAGTCTTTTCTTCCTCATACAAGGATACCTGTTTCATCCTGGGTATCTTCTCCTTGTATCCCCATTATTACCTAGTAAAGGCCCAGACAACATGCCATCCTACTGAGGACAGAGCTTCAACATAAGGACTTGGGGAACACGGATATTTGCCCCATACAGGGAATTTTGGCAAATTAAAAAGAAGAAGGAGAAGGAGAAGAACAAGAACAAGAACAATTCTAGCAGTTGGAAGAGCACAACAGAGGAACAGGTGCCCTTCAAGGTTCCTGCCTGAAGCTGGCAAACTTGTTTGAGAAGCTGCTGCTTTCTGAATCTGAAGTTTTGATTGGGTAGCTGTAAGGCTCTGAATTGCAGCCAAAGTTGCACTTCCCTGTTTTGGATGGTTTGCAACATTAAATAAAATATGGGAATCAAAGGTTCAACCGAGCATACTTGTGCTGGCCTCCCAGGAAGAGATTTGCTTGGGGGTGCTGGGCATGCTCTGCAGGTGGCTGCAGCTCGTTCCAGATGCTCTTCAGGGCCACTGTCCACGTCGTTTCTGAGTTGTGGAATCCACATGGTTGTCTGTAAAAGCCTTTGGGGGAGGAGATCTTTCCTACTTTATCGACTGGCCAAGTACGCCCTGAAGTGAGCGGAGAGGATTGGACAGGACTAAGCTAAAAAAGGCTTGAAAATAACTAAATCAAATACACCCACCATTTAGTGAAGAGAAGTTCTGATGTCAATAAAATACCTTGAAAAAAGCATCCAGGACAACATTTCATGTAAGGATGACTGAAAAGAAAAAAAAATCTTAGAATTTACAGCTGCAAGAAACTTTAAGAGTTAGAAAGACAGTGGTGTGACAGGGTTTATGATGATAGTAGCTGCCAGATCCCAAGTGTAGGCAGGTGCCAGGAACCATGCTGTGTACTCCCCCAAATTCTTACATAGCCTGCAGAGTGGGTTCCATTCCAGGTTCCTAGATGAGCACCTGAGTCCCCACAATGTTATATATTAAGGTTCAGGATCCCATTTTAAGAAGAGTTAGGTCTCTGTCCTATCTGACTGTGGTTCATTCTCCTACCTACTATAGAAGCTTCCTTTTAGTTGAGTCGCCATTTTTTGAAGGACAGAGGTGAGGCCAAATAGGTGAAAGGACTTATCAGTGAACTTCTATTCATGTTCTCCCCACATCTCTGGCCTCCTGATTCTTCATACCAGACTCTTTTTTTGGGGGGAACAGAGGATTGAACTCAGGCCCTTTCACTTGCCAGGCAAGCACTTATTCTACTGAGCCATCTCCAGACTCTTTCTGTAGGTCCTTTCCTGTGTTGAATGCTGTGGGAGACACAGGGAGTGTCAAGTAGATCTCCTCCCCTGGGGGCGTTATGGCCTACCTGTGGCAGCAAGATGCACATATAAATAACCAATGGTGCAAAGCAAATGGAGGGCATCAGAGGCAGAGAAGAGGACTATAAGCTTCAAGGAGACAAAGATTATAGGGCCTGGAGGAAGATTCTTCTTCGTTGTCTTCATCTTCTTCTTTGTCTTCTTTTTCAATTCATTTACAGATATTTAGTGAGCATCTGCTCTTTCCCAGGTACTGTGCTGGGGTCAGTGCAAGGAAGGCATAGAAAGGAAGACATAGGAAGGGTAGCATTTGAGTTGGGCCCTAAAGGATGAATACAAGATGAATGCCACTAGTATGGATTTTGCTGTGACCCTTGTGGTCATGCCGAGATGGGAGGGAAGTAAGAAGGAGAGGTTGTTAAAGAGGTGCAACAAATTGGTGATGACCGAGTACCAAGTGAGCCCAGAGTGCCAGGAGGGGTGCTGAGTGCTGCGGCACAGCCAAGCTTTTCTCTCCCTCACCTTCCCACCTCCCTTTTTTTTTTTTTTTTTTTTTTGCAGGATTTCCAGATTCAGATAGGGATTCTTTCCTCACCAGCAGTATGTCCTTGGGAAAGTCACTTATAGCCCCTGTGCCTCAGTTTCCACATCTGTGGAATGAAGATAAGAATAGGATTCACTTTGTTGATAAGAGGATTTGAACTTGACTGAGTATTCTCTCTTATGAGTGTTATCAGAATCAATAAACTAATTTAGGAACAAGGAACTATAGAGCTTTGGCAGAGTCTAAAATAGCTATTTTTCATTTTCATTCATTGGGAGGAGAAACAGGTTAAGCAAGGTTTAGAACTCAGGCGGTGTTTCTGCAGAGAATGGTGCCCTAATCCAGTGGATGACAAGTTCTATAGCCTGCACTGTCAAATGGTTCTTGCATCAGTAAGTTGTCATCAAGATCTGCCTGGACCACTATTGTCACCTCCTGACTGGTCTCCACATTTCCTCCTGGACTCCCTGCAGGTTATTCTCCAAGCACCTGTTCTCCAGGGCACTTCTCTCCAGTGCCCTTCTCTCTGGTGACCTGTTCTCAGGATGTACTTGAGGCCCTGTCTCTTCCCTGCTTGAAACTCTTCCAGGGCAAATCCCTAGCATGCTCCTTCTCTTTCATTTCTCCTTTGAACCTCAGAGTTCTGCATGTTGTTTCTGTCTGAGATACTCTTCCCACTTTGTCTTCACCTGCTGAACTATGTATCCTTCAGAACTCAGCTAAAATATCAGCGTCTGCTCCAGGAAGCCTTCCACGTCTTCCTGATAAGTGCTTCTGCTTGCTTGTACTTTTTATCTGCGGTGCTTCTTGGAGTATGCTGTCGTATAGTTGTGTGGTTATCTGAATCAGGTCTGCCTTCCCAGCTGCATTATATGAGGACTGCATCCGTCTTGGCCAGTGGAGCATCCTCAGAAGTTAGCACAGGGTGCCACATGCCCAGCAAGTGTTTGGTGAGTGATTGAAAAGAATTGATCCGTGAAAGAAGTCCTGGTCACCGGTCCAGCCTTGCAGGTGCTTCAAGACACTCTCAGGGCCTCTGTTAGTGGGAGTCATTGCTGGGGGGCCAGCTCTGTAGAAGACCCTGAGCTGGATGCAGCATGGGCTCTTCATTCCAGAGCATGAGCTCTGGTGTCAGGAGATAGGGGAGAGAAGCCCTGGGCGAGGGGCAGCTAGGCCATCCCTGGTATTTCCTGCTTACCTTCTGCATCAGCAGGCACCAGAGTAAGTGCTGCCTCCTCTGTCTGTCTATATCTGTGAAACCTCTGTTCCTCAGTGAAGCCATCCTGGATGACAGAGAATAGACTGTCTTCTTAAAAAAACAAAACAAAACAAAAAAACCCTTTGTATATTTCTATATACATATTAGTCCTCTCTGTCTGAGGTATAACTGGTAAAACCTTTTTACCCATTCTTAGGTTGTCTCTTCACTCTGTTGGTTGTTTCTTTTGCTTTACAGAAGTTTTTTTTCTTTGGTGCAAAACCATTTGTTGTTCTTTGGTGCTGTTTCTTATCCCGTTCTTGGGGTTCTGTTTAGAAAGCTCCTGTCTATTCCTGTGACCTCAAGAGTTTTACCTATGTTATTTTTTAGCGCATTAAAGGTCTCTTTTAACATTTAGATCTTTGGTCCACTTTGGTTTTAGTTTAATACAGATGAGAGCTAGTAGTCTAGATTCAATCTTCTGCATGTGAGTAGCCAGTTTTCCCAGCACCATTTGCTAAAGAGGTTCATTTTCCTCCAGTTTAGGTTTTTTGGCCAGATGAGCAATAAAAATAGGGAAATCGATCTGTGGCAAATGGGAAGGGGCCTAGGGAGGAGGGCATAAAAAGAAATAAAATTTGTCATGTACATGTATCGATTACTCACAATGAACATATTGGTGATGTACTGCAAATGTATAATAATAAAATAAAATTATGGGGGGAAAAATCGCACAACTCTGGGTCCTCCAGATACCTCCTTTCCCTGGAGAGCCTGGAAAGAAACTCTTTCTGCCTTACTCCTGGTTCTGTCTCAGAGGAAGATAAAGGCTCTGGAGTAGCTAACACCCAAACTCAGCTCAGCCCAGGGCTTAGGGATTGTAGTTTTTTTGTTTGTTTGTTTGTTTGTTTTTGGTTTTTGGCGGGGGAGGAGGCAAAGAGCAAGTTTATTTGGTGACTGCTGATGGCAAGCATCATTCAAGAGACCAGGTGGGAAAGGCGCTGTGCAAGGGAACCTAGAAGCCTCTGGAGCCACATACAAATCTTGCACAGGGCAAAGCATGGGCTCTGGGAAGTTGGAATGTCTTCAGCCGTTCAGCGCCATCCGGACAAGTTTTTCATAGTTGATACAACCATTGCTGTCCTCATGCCCTGCCACCAGCATCTCCACTTCTTCCTCTGTCATCTTCTCAGCCAGTGTGACTAGGACATGACGGATTTCAGCACCCATGACAGTATCATTCCCTTCTTTATCAAACACTCGAAGGCCTTCAACATAGTCCTCATAGGTTCGTTGGTCCTCATTCTTGACCACAGTCTGCAGCACGGGGGCAGAAAGTGCTCAAAGTCCAGTACCTTCGAATTCATCTTATCACTGTTGGGGTTCCCCAGGACCGTGAGCACCTTGGCATTGGTGGAGTTCTGGCGCAGTGCCTTCATCACGTCCCCACACTGGCTGTACAGGATCTTGCCATCACCTGTTCTGTCAAACAGCTGGAAGGCCTCCTTGGACTCTGCCGTCTGGTCCTCGGTGAAGTCACACATCTTGACTGCCAGGCTCTACTAGACCTGCTGTAATAGGAATCGTAGTTTCAAAACAGCCTTTCTCAGAGTTCAAAGTAACGTGCTGTGTTTTTATTTCTTGTCTGCTTTTAGCTCAGAAGACAATTCCGTGTGGATCTATCCCTCCAAGTAAGTGCTCTGAATTCCTAGGTGTCTGCCGATGCCTCCCGCACCTGCCCTCTTGCCCACTGCACTCTGTTCCTCACACCCAGACTATGCTGGTTCTCAGGGCCAAGCTGGAAGGAAGCATGGAGTGGGGACAGACAGGCTCCTGCCAATCTGGGAATCTGGACTGCGCTCCTCCAGCCTTCCCGTCTTGTCTTTATAGAGCTGTGACTTGTGCTCTACCTTTGTGCTTTATCAAGGGTCTCTGTAAGGGACACAATTTGTGAACAGTCCCATCATGCTGATGAAATAATGAATCTGGGAAGATATTATCCACTATTCTGTATGTGTTGTCTGAAAAGCTGTGGAAGCTGTTGCTCTGAGAATACAAAGCAGGAAAATTTTCAAGTTTCTTATAGAACTAGTATATATTATGTTTGAAAAATTTATTGTCTTTAAAAAAGAGAATGAAAGCTATGTGAACCTGAATTTTCCCCTCTTTGCCCTGGTTTCCAGGAAGCCCAGAACACACTATTGTTCTTATTTGTACTTGCCCCACCTTCGTAGCTAATGTCCTTTCTCCCCTGGGGACCTTGGCACCTCATTCAACCACCAACCCAATATTTCAGCTATAAAATGGAAAGGTAAAATTTTTCTCTGGGATGACTAAGGTCATGAAAATACATATCCAGCTGGCTAAGTCAAAGCTTGTTTTCTAGTGCTGTCTTTGTTTTTCATTCCTGTGTTGCTCTTCTGCTTACTGCAATTATATCTTTGTGTCATAAATCAGTTCAAACCATTTCTGCAAGTAGAGATTCACAACATTAATATTAAGGCATATTAATACTATTAAGCTTATTTGCAAATTAGCTGCCACCTTCTCTGTCCAACTGAGTGTTGTATACTGTGGCTTCCTCTTCTTTTTCCCTCAGAAAGTTTACACTGATATGGAAAATTTCTCACGTGAGTAGCTTTGGTGGCTTCTAATTATAATTTCCTAACTTTTTGTTCAGGAGTTCTCAGGTTTCCTGAAATTGTCATACCTGACCTTTGGACAAGTAGAATTTTGCTCAGGCTGACTTTTGGAGCAAACTGAATTCTCTTAGTTTTGCAAAGAGATCATTTTTGGAAATGTCCATTAGTTTTTCTTTTCTTTTCTTTCTTTTTTTTTTTTTTTTTTCAGAACCGGCGATTGAACTCAGGCCCTTGAGCTTGCCAGGGAAGCGCTTATTCTACTGAGCCATCTCCCCAGCCCCATAGTTTTTCATTAAGGCTACAATTTACTATAGTAAATCACCTTCATGGGAGGTTTGTTATTACTGTTGACTACACTTTTGAGAGGAGGAAGTCCAAATTCAGGGAGAGAAGAACATTGGATCACAGTCACATACCTAGTAACTGCCAATTCAGGACTTGGCTTATGTATTAATGCCCCTTCCTTCCTTCCTTCCTTCCTTCCTTCCTTCCTTCCTTCCTTCCTTCCTTCCTTCCTTCTTTCCTTTCTTTTTTTTTTTCCACCCTCCTCTCCCCCTCCTGTTGGGGGTCCCTGGATGAGCTGAGTACTGGCTACTGCTTAGGAGACAAGAGGCTGGCCTTCACGTCCATCTTCTCCTTTTTGGCAAGAAGGTTTCACTTCTACCTGTTTTTTGAATTACTATCTTAAAATGAGCTTCTTAAACAGTAGTGCCTGCTATTAAGAAAAGGATTTAGAAAACTCCCAGTTTGAGGAATGCCTCATTTTCTAAAAATGTTCTTTTTTTTTTTTTTCCTTTCCTAGAAACCCAGAAGTTGATAACAACAGCAGTCAGAGGGGCTGGTGGTTTCTGAGCTGGTTTAAGGATGGGTAAGGTGATTGGAGGGTGGTATGTGTCTGTCCCATCACTCTGGGCTGTTGAGAATCCAGTTAAAACTGGTTCCATCAGCATGAGCTCAGTGATTCTTCAATGTAGGTTACTAAAATCATAAGAGAAATCTCTCATGGGTGGCACTAGAAATTAAAGGAGAGGTTCTTTTCGTGCTTTTGTTTTGTTTTGTAGTAGGAATCAAATGCAGGACCTTGCACTTGTCAGGAAGGCACTTGTAAACTGAAATGTTCTTAGGAAGACTGTTTTCACAAGTCTCCCCAATCCCTCAGATGGTCTGAGGATGGCTGGGTCATTAAACTGCTGCCTTGCATGGGTGATAAGAAAGGGGATTCTGCCTTTTCCATTCAGATCGTGTCCTAGTGGATAAACGTGGAGCCGCGAAGCCTTTCTCCAGGCCTTGAGCTGCTGCTCAGCCCATGTGCCTCACCCTTCCTGAGCTCATTCCCCACCTTAACTGCTTTGCTTTCCCTTTGTGCTTAGGATCCACGGTTATCAAGAGGGAGAAACAGAAGAAAGGACAAAAGGAGAGCTCCCGCTATCAGACTGGTTTGATCCCACGTAAGAAAAGAAGCATTGCTCTATGTTCAGTAAGCCCATAGCTCAGCAAGAGGTGGAGTGACCGACAGCGCGAATGCAATGGAGACCATTGCTGGTTAGAACAGGAAAAGTGCCTTCCTGATTAAGGGTGGAAGGGGCTTAGCATATTAGACCATGAGATCTGCTACTTTGAACCAAGCAGATTGAACAATTTGTGTGTGTGTGTGTGTGTGTGTGTGTGTGTGTGTGTGCGCGCGCGTGCGCATGTGTGTTTGAGACAGGATCTCACTATGCATGTCAGATTGGCCTTGAGCTCACTTTGTAGCCCAACCTGGTCTCAAACTTACACAATGGTCCTCCTGCCTCAGCTTCCTAAGTGCTGGGATTACAGGCATGCACCACCAGGCCTGCCCCAGTAATTTTGACAGCAATTGATCAGGAGTAGCAGATAAAACACAAAATACTGGTGCTTTGGGAGGGCTTATACAAGCCACATGGTGAGGTAATAGTAGAAGATCATGAGAAGGGGCAAGAAAACTCCCTCTCAAATTTAGACAACTCATCTGTAAAATAGGATTGGTGATTCAAAAAAAAAAAATCTTAAGAGATCATGAATTCCTTTGTTAAGCAATAGATACAAAGTGTTTGTTAAAACTTTTAATGTGTGGCTGGTGTTTTCCAAATTATGGGTTACTACATGAACCTATGAACCTATTCATGTGTTCAAAGGTCATAGTAATGGCGTTGGGGTAGTAGTTCAGTGATGTATGCATGTGCTTAGCATGCATGAGGGCCTGGATTTGATCCCCAGCATAAGGAAGGGGAGGAAGAAGAGGAAGAATTGTTGTTCATTGATTAATAGGGGCAGTAGCAGTGAAACTAGAATTTGCCAAGCTTGGTAAGGAGGTCTAATGAACTGATTCAAAGGATGTGGTTTAGGGGCTAAGTAGATGCAAACTGTCCAGGGAGACTGGGAAGCTTTAGAGATTGGTGGGCAGTGGTGTCATGGACCAAGAAAGGGCCTGAGAGGGAAACACAGGGGTGGGGGTGGGAGGAGGTAATGCTCTCCATGAGCAATGTGCATGGATTCCACTGCTTACGGGGCATCTGGAGAGTCCCAGGCTACCCATGAGCTTGGCAGAAAGAACAAGCCGGAAATGTGGGGTGAGGAGTTGTCAGAGTACAGGTAACAGGAGGAGCATATCCTGTGGGCTGGGATGAGGCCACCCAGAGAGGGCTAACACCACATTTGAAGTGGTCGTGGAAGAAAACCCTCAAATGGAGCAGGGAGCAGATACAGCTGTGGGGGAAGGGTCAGGAGAGAGTCCTGTTTAGGCCTGTATGATGGTGGATAATAAGCTCTGGAAAGATTGAAAGTATTGGGGCTGGGAAGATGGCTCAGTGGAATAAGTGCTTCCCTGGCAAGCACAAGGGCCTGAGTTCAATCCCCGGTTCCTCCAAAAAAAAAGAAAAAAGAAAAAGATTGAAAGTATTCAGAAAAGTTTACTTACTGAGGTAAGAGAGGAAGGACAATTTTTACCTCCTATACTCCTCCAAAGAGCTGGACGACATGAAATGCTAAACCACTACTAGAAATGTAAGAAGAGAAAAGCTCTGTTGCTTTGATGAGCCCCTTGAGTTGGGGGATGAGAGTCCCAAGGGGCAGGTGGGCTGGGGAAACCAGAGCTGGTCACCGAGTGCCCTTCTGAGGAGGGCGGGACAGCCTCACTAAGGTGCCAGTGCTCTGCTGAGAAAGCTTGAGAGGTGAGGCCAGGGGTGAATTACTAGGAACAGAAAGAGGCAGATGGTGGTCACAAGTTGTCACTCTCTCCACTCTCCCTCATGTGTGGATGGTCTTCACCTCCAATGAACAGCAAGCAGGATAACCAACTTAAGGCCCTCTCTGGGCACCCAGATTTACTACTTGCATAAGTGAATGCCAGCATGAGAGAACAAATATACTTTATATTGATGTGTCCTCCATAGCTATCAGACACATTACAGTGTATTATGTACCTGCTTCCATAGGGAGACCTCTCAGCTTACTCACCTCCCCCTCCAACGTCCTTTCTCTGTCTCCTTGACAGCACCATCTCCTCTGTCCCTCTCATCTGCCATTAGAGTTTCTGGAAGCAACAGGTGGCATCCTCTCTTTTTCTACCCACCACTTTCCACCAAGCTCCCATCCCTTTGCGTGGCAGCAGATACCTTCCACGAGAGGGTGACTCCCACCTTTGTGCCTTTAGCCCAGCTATTTCCTCTGAGCCCAGACTTGTCCCTGCCTGCCTGCCTGCCTGCCTGCCATGTCTGCACACTTCACATGACCTGCACAGATTTCTCAATTCCGGCCCCCTTGTTCTCATTTGCCATCCTGGTGAATAGCTCCTGTCGGCCAGAGTCTGGGCACCTTGCCTCTCTTCTACCCACGGTCTAACCCATGAGCATGCTCTGCCAGCTCCTGCTCCAGGCCCTTCCCGTGTCCTTCCCTCCTCTCCACCCTACAGCCCCCTTGCCTGTTCCTGTTGCCATCAGCTCTTTCCTGGATTCCTGTCAAGCTTGTTACCTGATGAGTGATACGCAGTCCACACTTAACCTACTACGTGACTCAAGGAAGTTTAATATTTTCTCTGACCAAGCACTAGATCCTGAAATATGCGCACAAAGACATAAAGCTATAAAGCTGCCTACCTACAAGCTGGGAGCCTGTGTACTTTGGTCACAGAAGCACAGTAATTTTTTTGTTTTTCATTTATGTATGTGGTACAGAGTCTCGCTATGCATCTCAGACTCGTAGTGATCCTCCTGTTTTCAGCCCCACCAGTGCTGGAATTATAGGTTGTGCCACCACATCCAGACTTTTGTTGAGGCTCAGTGTGCCCCAGGGGCTGGGCTGGCACTGGCGCAGCATGCAGGACCAGGGATCAAACCCTGGTCCTTGCGCTTGCACAAGCAAGTGCTTAGTCCACTGAGCTATCTCACCGGCCCTTAAGTGCAGTTATTTTTCCAGAAGCTTTTGGTCCATGTTGGTAGAACTGTGCGTACTGGTTGGTAGAATATGTGGCTCGAGTGCCCTGCAATGACTGGAGGCCTTTGAGGAGCCCTTTCCTGGCACTTCTCCCTTGTTTTAGAGCCCTGTCTTTATGACTGTGGGCATTGCCAAGGATGGGCATCTGCGCATGTGTGGGCTGCCTTTAGTCACCTCTTTTGCGACTCTGTGGCTGTAGCAGTCCATGCAGGAAGCCAGCCTCCTTCCCTACCACCTGCTTCTCTAGGCTTCTGTCTGTCAGAGTTGGGGGTCTCTGACATGGTGGAATTGTCAGTGGAAGTGAATAATCTCAGCTGGGAAACGGCATGTTTGAATTTTAATTCAGCATTAATGTTTAAAATTACTCCCTCCACCACCAGTTGAAGGTATCCTTCATATCCAAGTGGTCAAACTGGACACTGGCCTCCTAACTTGGGCTTTCTAAAAGAGGTAGACTGAGGGTCCCACAGCTGAGCATGGGACTTCGAGGTGCTCACAGGAGGCCAGTGTTTACCCCGGATTAGCCCTTCATAGAAAGCTGACAGGAAAAGGCTCAGTTGCCTTCAAGCCTGGCTTTATTTATAGAATGAAGGCACCGACAGCACCCACTTCACGGGTGGGGATGAAGGCTGGCACTTGGTCCTTGATGCAAAGCAAGTGCCAAATGAGCATCCCTACTTATTTACAAAGTACTAGTACTTACCTGGCTCATGCACAATAAGACTTAGCAAGACGAGCAACTCAGAACTGATAACAAGGTACTTAACTAACAGCAGTGGAGGAGATGACTGTGGGGATAGTTTAGGTTATAAGGATCAGGTGTGTGTTTGTTTTTTCTTCCTTTCTTTGTTTCCCTTTCTTTCTTCAGGTTGATTTGAAACCTTATTCAAACAGAGGTGGGGTTTTATGGTATTAAAAGCACCACTGGGACAAAGCCCAGTGAGCCAGCCTGCGCTGGCCGTGCTCCTGGGCCCTAGCAAGGCCGTCAGAGAAGGCCAACAAGAATGTCCCCCATGAGGGGATGTGCTACATGCATGTACTAGTCCCCACTGAGTTAATGTAATCAGTGTGCAGTGTTTAAATACATGGAATTACAGGTTGTGCCACCATGTCCAGACTTTTGTTGAGGCTCAGTGTGCCCCAGGGGCTAGGCTGGCACAGGCACAGCATGCACAACCAGGGATGAAATTAAAAAAAAAAAAAAAAAATTAAAAGGAAAACCAGGTGAGGTGGTGCACACCTGTAATTCCAGCACTGGGAGGCTGAGGCAGGAGGATCACTGTGAGAGGCCTGCCTGGGCTACAAAGTGAGGCCAAGGCCAGCCTGAACTATAGCAAACCCTGTCTCAAAAATAAATGGATAGAACAAAATAAGGAATATCCTTCACCCATCCTCACTTATCCAGTGGAGGACTGGGGTTTTGTAAAACTGTGCCAGGGCCTCAGCAAAACAGAATTTTCCTGCAGTGAGGCTGATAGCCAGGCTGAGTCATCCAAGTCACTAGCACAAAAGCTAGTGATGATGCCTGAGTCTGCAGTGAAGCGAATGCTGCAGTGGTAGGCTGCAAATGCTGCTGCCTTTCAGATCACTGCTGGCTCTCAGACTGGGATACTTTCAGATCGGGATGAGCCTGGCTAGCAGAGCAAGTCAGTGTCTGTGCAGCATGGTGCAAAGTGATGCCTCAGAGCACCGGGCTTTAGAGTCAAGCTGTCTTGACTTAAATCCTAGCCCATTCCTTAGTAGCTGTGTGACCTTGGAAGAGTTACTAGAACTCTTTGTACTACAGTTTCTTCATTGGTAAAATGAGAATCAGGGTTACTGTACCCTTTGCACAACGCTCTGTCTCACAGGAAGGGCTCATCGTCCAGGATGATGGCAAGGACTAGGAACAAATGCACACGATGGCGATGGGTTGGTGCTGAGACTGCAGCAGTTTCTGTCATGATGGATGGAATCAAGCATCTCTGTGTTCTCCATGCAGTGGGCGCAGGTGGACTGTTGCAGGCACTGCTGGCTCTCAGACTGGGATACTCCAGGCAAGGCAAGGAAGGCTGCTTCTGAGCACTTCCCCCTGTGCATCTCTGCCATTCTGGCCTAAGCAGGAGATTATTCTAGGCATGCTGGGGAACTGGAAGCCAGTCAGAGACCCTTGCCAGCAGGTGGAAGGATGGAAGGGTCAGTGTAGAGTTGGAGCGCAAAGCTTTGGGACAGGGACAGGAGGCATGAGGAAGAGTTGTGAAGCTTCTTTTCCCCTCTGGGGATGGAGGAAGTTGGGGATGACCCAGCCTTGGCTGTCAGCCTCACTGTGGGTGAACTCTGCTATGCCAATGAGAAGGTACAGTTGTGTGACAATCCACTGGATATGTAGGAAACAAGGGACATTCTCTGACCTTGCCCAAGCCCCTCAGCAGGGCCATGTGAGCACATATCAGCTGAGCCACCATCATTTGGTTCAGTCACTCATCTTCTTGGGGTTGACAAAGATGCTGCAGCCAGGGCCAAGCCTGCCCTGGAGTTGGAACCCAAGTGAGCGGTGCCAGTCCACACTTCCCAAGATGGAGCTGTGGCCACTTCCTGAGTGATGGGAATGCACGCTGAGCCTCCACCACCCTTCCTGCTCCGCCAACAGGGCCCCACCTCTGCTCTGCCCTTTCTGCCTTTGTCCTACAGTTTCTTGCTCTGTCACTGCTCTTCCTGTGTTTTTATTGGCTTTGCCATGTCCCTTTGGAGCTCTCTGAGTACAGAAAACCTACCCCTCTCTCACTCCCATTGTGTTCTTGTTAAAGAGGCCACATGGTCTAATACCCAGAAGTCTCACTCTGGCCAAAGACATATTGAAAGAGTTTTTCTAGCACAGTTCTGACATCATTCTCTTATCCCCTAAGTTGAGGATTAGGGTCTCATCAAGCTCAGATGACACTCACGGGGATAAATAACCACCCAAAGATGTCACTGGCAGCTTGGGAGCTATCAAGAAAGGAAAAGGAATTTAGAAGTAGGAGGAGAACAAAGAATGCAGGAAATGAGGAAAGAGGGTATGAGATGTGTAGGAAAAAGTCCACAAGGCCCCTCAGGACAGCCTCCAAGGCATCCTGCAGAGGTCAGACCTCCTGTGTGTGTGTATGCAATTAAGTTACAATCAGGAGTCAGGAGCAGTTGCTGTGGGTCATTGCTGACCCATTTTTTTTTTTTCTTGGACCATCTCTGCGCCGCCTACACGGAGCTATCCTGACTCATGGGATTGTGTGTTTACCACCAGGAAACGCCCGGAAGTTGTGACGGTGACTAGATGGGAAGCGCCAGTCATATGGGAAGATACTTACAACACAGCCGTGCTAGAAAGTTACTATGCCAAACGTAGAATCACCGTGGGCTTAACAGTTTTTGCTACTGGAAGGTTGGTGTCCACTGATGCAATTGTCTTTGACTTTTCATGTTCTACCATAGGGACAGTGGCCTTCACAGAGGTTACTCATGACTCACCTAAATTATTAAATAATAGAAAACTGCTTAGGATGATCCATTTCAGTCTCCTTTCAGCTGAGACATCCAAAAGCCAAGAACAAAACAACAGTAGGTGAGCCCTTTTGTTACCACTTCAAAGGGGTGGGTATTGGGTTCCAGTAGCCACCAAACCCAGAGTCAACAGCAGTACCAACCCCATGCTCCCTGACTTCCACGGCTTTCTTTGGGAACTCCCAAAATAGCAGCTGTAGGTTGCCCGAATACGCATCATTCCTCTACACGCTAAAGGCCTGAGGATTGAGGGATATACAGCAAGTTCTAAGCACAGAACTGTTCTTCTTGTTAAAGCATGGCTTACCACTCTTCCCTGGCCATCTCAGGCCGCTTCCACCTGACCCTCTGGAAGATCTGGCCTTTGGTCAGAACGAACATCCTCTTTCAGAAGCTGGGTATATAAAAGAGATTCCAGTTCCAGTTTCCATTTACTGGTTCAGAACACTTGATGCAGAAAAAAATTGCAATAAATCTCACTTAAGTTGAGGCTTTCATACTACTTTTAAAATATAACCTATTTTTGCTTTCTTGGAGAATAAAAAGAAATCTCTTTTCCAAGTTAAAATGGAAAAAATGCAATTTTCCTATTTTTCTGCCCTTTGGACCTTTCCATCTGTATTTTTTTTTTTTTTTTTTTTTTTTTTGGAAAAAGTGTGTGGAAAGTTGATTCCATGTTTTCTAGTGAGTTAAGGCTCAGGTTGATCTGAACTTAAGCTTGACATAGGTAAAGTCTAAAACAGACCTTTGAGAGTCCGGTAGCTCTCCAGTGATAGCTTCCCCAGCTTGGGGCCCGGTGGCCATTGCTGTTGCTGTCCTTAACAGCAAGAACCAAGTACTAACTTTGCTACTGCTGAGCTGCAGGACTTCATGTGCCTTCAGTAAGGTAGGGTGACTGTGGGATTTTGATTATTTTACTGGAGAAATATGTGCTAGGATGGGACAGGAGCCAGTGTTCAACTCACCTAGTCCTTTGGCACAGAAGGAAAGCCAGTCTCTTTACATCTTAACTTAATCCTTCTGGTGTTACAAAGAACAGTGTGGCCCATGGCCCACAAAGACTTGTGCCGTCCACTTGCCTCTCTGGGGAGCAGTGCTGTAAGCCTGGTGACAGCACTGTGTACTCAGCTCTGTGGCAAGAGGGGATGGCTTTGTACTCAGCTGTGATACATTCTCGCTGCGATACATTCTCACAATAGTGGAGTTGGGCTTTTAGGAGGTTGTGCTGTTTGGTTTGTTTTCCAATAACAATGCACTAATCTCTAAACCATGTTAAATCTCAGTGACTACCCTGCCTCCAGCTCAGCCCAGTAGTGTTTCCCATGCTTTAGGCATACTCAGTCTTTCTTTAACTTCTTCTTAAGAATGCCCTGGCCACCAGCCACAGAGCCATGTTAAAGTTTCCCTTTGTATTGCTCAGATATATTCTCTTCACTTAAATAATCACCACTGTTAAGCCCTTGGGCCCTTAGATGCCCACCGTAAAGGTACAGCTTATTTTGATGGCAAAGATAGGAAATCACACAGCTAGAGAAAACAAAAATATGCCAGGTGCAGTCACTTCTAAAACACTGTGATTAGGGTCTGGGGAGATAGTTCAGTGGAATAAGCGCTTCCCTGGCAAGCACCAGGGCCTGAGTTCAATCCCCGGTTCTGCAAAAATAAAAACAAAAATAAATAAATAAATAAATAAATAAAACACTGTGATTAGGGCCAGCCAGACAGCTCAGCAGATTAAAACACTTGATTAGGCAGGCACACCCCTGGTGTGTGCTGAGATGGTGATTGAGACTCGGTGTGGTGCCTGTAATCCTAGCACTTGGGAGGCTGAAAATAGGAGAATCACTGTGAGTCTGATCTGTGTAGTGCAAGATTGGCAGCTATTGTGATCAGAAAGTTATGTCCACATTCACTTTGCCTGAGTCTTGGGCTTGGATGAGTCATATTAGGCCATCTAACTCTGTCCTTTCTTCCATAATCTTTATAGCGTGCCTTCATAAGACAGTCTGTAGTAGTCTGAACTCCTGGGCGACATCAATAGAACATTGTTTGGATGAATAGACAAACAATAAAAATACCACTATGTGCCTGTTAGACTGGCCAAAATAAAAAACACTGACAATACTAAATGTTGACAAAAACAGAGAGAAACAGAAACCCTTTTATTGTTGTGGGAGTACAGGCTGGTACAACCTTTTTTTTTTTTTTTTTTTTTTTTGTGGAACCTGGGATTGAACTCAGACCCTTGCACTTGCCAGGCAAGCACTTATTCTACTGAGCCATCTCCCCAGCCCCTAGTACAGCCATTTTGGAGGAAAGATTGACAGTTTCTAACAAGACTAAGCATGTTTTCACCATATAATCTAGCAGTCATGCTCCTCGGTATTTACCCAACTAAGATGCAAAACTGTCCACACAAACACAGATCTGTATACAGATATTTGTGAGCATCAAGTTGTCCTTAGACAGGTGAATGGGAAAATAAACCACTGCATATAGATGATAGGATATTAATAAGTGCTGTAAAAAATGAGCTATCACACAACGAAAAGACATGGAGAACTCGTACTTGCATGGTACTCAGGGAAAGAAGCCAACCTGAAATGGCTGCATACTATGTGCCTCTAGCTCTGACTTTTTGCGTAACTATAGAAACAGTAAAAAGATCCCTGGCTGTGGGCACTGGGGTGTGAGAGGATTTTTAGGGTGATAAAATGATTGTGAATGGTTCTATATGGGTAGACACATATCATTGAACATTTACCCAAACCCATAAAATGCACACCACCACAAGTGCACCCTAACAGGAACCATGGATGTTAGTGATAGCGCCTCATCAACGTGTGTTTGTTGATTGTAACAAACTTAACATGGAGTTGATGGTAGGGACGGCTGTGCGCATGTGCAGCCTGGAACTCTATGAGAACTTCAGCTCAGTTTTGTAAAGACAAAGTAATAGTTAAAACAAAGTGAAATCAGGGGTTGTTTGCTCTGGGATTGGGATGGATTTTGTACTGCTGATGTCTGGATGAAGGATGGCATCATGGGTGACCAGAGGGGGGCTCACAGGACAACTGTGGAACATGGGGTGAGACCCAGGCCCACACCCTGTTCCTTGTGTCAGAGGCCAGGATGAGCATGCTGAGGGGTGGGCCGAGCTGGACACAGAGGCTGATGAGACTGTGCAAGGATGGCAATGATGAGCCCCCAGTGGGCACAAGGGTCACATCGCCTCTGCGTGTGGTCTGGCAGTAGCAACGTTGTGGCGTAGGTTGAATTTTTAAGAGAGGCTCAAGAACTAGCACCTCTTGTGATTGCCCAAGTCTGAATCAATTGATAAGCCAGATAAAGAGGTGTGGAAAGCAGATGATAGTGAATGCCACCTTCATTACAGTTAAAGCTGGTACTGGGGAATGTGGCTTGTATTAACAGGCTCTTGATTACCTAGTATTGGGCTGCAGAAAGACCCAGAGACCCTGGCATTTACAGCATTAGAAACTAGAGACCTCTGGATATAGGGATAGAACCATGTGGCTCTAAGCTTGCCACAAGGCAGAGCAGGTGAGAATCCAGGCTTTCTTACTGGCCATCTTCCAAGAGCAAGGGGACAGGGCTGTGCATGCCCAGCTGTTCTTCTGAAATTGGCATTCAGAGAAGTCGTTCCATTTTCCCAAGGACCGAAGGACTGAGGGACCGAGGGGTCGAGGGGTCGAGGGGAACAGGAGTGTCCTACTAAAAGGTGTGCTGCCACAGGACAATATGCATCTGGGATGGGAAGAAACAGTTTCCCTCTTAAATGTAAAAGGCAACTTGATTATAGTGACACATGTTCTCATGTAAGAACCCAAAAGTTCAATGTATTCCTTTCTCCTCTGTTGCAGATACATTGATCATTACTTGGAGGAGTTCATAACATCTGCTAACAAGTACTTCATGGCTGGGCACAAAGTCATATTTTACATCCTGGTGGATGACATGTCCAGGATTCCTTTGATAGAGCTGGGTCCTCGGCGTTCCTTCAAGGTGTTTGAGATCAAGCCTGAGAAGAGGTGGCAGGACATCAGCATGATGCGCATGAATACCATTGCGGAGCATATCGTGGCCCACATCCAGTATGAGGTTGACTTCCTCTTCTGCATGGATGTGGACCAGGTCTTCCAAGACAATTTCGGTGTGGAGACTCTGGGCCAGCTGGTGGCTCAGCTCCAGGCCTGGTGGTACAAGGCACATCCCAAAGAGTTTACCTACGAGAGGCGAAAACAGTCAGCAGCGTACATTCCATATGGACGGGGGGATTTTTATTACCATGCAGCCATTTTTGGAGGAACACCCAGTCAAGTTCTCAACCTCACCCAGACATGCTTTAAAGGAATCCTCCAGGACAAGAAAAATAACATAGAAGCTAAGTGGCATGATGAAAGCCACCTGAACAAGTATTTCCTTCTCAACAAGCCCACTAAAATCTTATCCCCAGAATACTGCTGGGATTATCACATAGGCCTGTCTTCAGATATTAAGAATGTCAAACTATCTTGGCAGAATAAGGCGTATGATTTGGTTAGGAATAATGACTGACTTCAGGTTGTGCCAGTAGGTTTTCTAAACTTGAGAGAATATTATTCTGGCTAATTCCTCAGAAAAAATAATTTTAGCTTAAGGAAAAAAAAAAATCATCAACTTGGCAGGCAGGTGCTATCTCTCTATGTAAGGTTGAGTCTTGAAACCCTTGGAGAACGGAGAACGCATTGGTGGTAACCAGTTGTGAATTCCCAGCATTTTTTTCTGTACTCTGGCTTTGGGGAAAAACTGTTAGCTGAAGCAAAAAGAATTTGCTGCAGGCAAAGAAGAAGCCAAAATACTCTGGGTGTGAAGTAACAGAGTGCTAAGGGGAGTGGCTGGCAGCACGATGCTGGAGTGGGGTGCTTGATTTCAGTGTCTTTCTAGTTTTGAAGGGTCTAAAGCAACTGAGTTGCCCTCTAGCAGGAAACCTCTACCAGCAGGCAGCCTTCCAAGTTGGAAATCCTCTAAGGCCTCCAAGCTGATTGCCTCAGGCTATTTGTAGCCCATTTCCTCTTCTTGGCTGGGTAGTGTTTGGCTTTTATGCAAAAGATCTGGTGGGGATTCACAATTGGTGGCCTGGTGGTGCACTTTCAGAGACTGGAAGCAGCCCAGCAGATGCTCTACTTGACATGAAAACAGCTAAGCACTGGGATGGATCAACAATGCCAATGGGAGGAAGAGCTGACCACTGTAGGGTTGCGCCACTGTGGAGGACGCGTGCAGTGTGGGTGCTTAAAGGACACTGGTCACCAGAGCTGAATGGGAGACAGTGGGAGGTCACCATCCTCCTGGAGCCCGGACTAAACAACAGGCCCTTGATGGGAGGAGCCCAAAGACACTTGCATCTTCATCTTCCAGAGAAGACGGTGGTTAGTGTCAGAAGGGGAAGGGCCAGAGGGGCTGAACAGGCCTGCCAAGGTGGACCTGGGTTTTGCACTACTAGCTGGATCCACCCACGGCGCTGGATGCCAGGGTCCATCAGCCCCAGGGCTGACATCAAGGAGTGGACTGGAGAAAAAGCCCTCCTGCAGAATGACCTCAGCTTTACCCTGCTCCATCTGCACTGTGGAATTTGATGTACTTGACAGAGTGAATAAATTTCATGACACAGGCAAGAGAGGATAGCAGCCAAGGCCCAGCCACCATGGCTGAATACTGAACGCTCAGTTCTCTTCTCCAGGAGAAGCAGTGACATCCTATGGATTATACATTAAACAAATACACGTAGAAGTTAGAAGGCAGTATTTACGTGTGCACATATATTTATATTTTACTTGTGTTCCAATTTATTTAAACAGTCACTGGCCTGGTTTGATGTGCATTACAAAGGGCTTTTTGGGTAAAGTGAATATTTTCCTATACATCTTCCATCTACTTTGCCTCCTATTCTTCGGCTGGGGCCCTACCACCACCACCACCAAAAAAAAAAAAGCCCCACATTCAACAACAAAATTTCGGCCATCAGTTAAGACTCATGCTTCTTTACTAAAGCTGTGTTGGACCCAGACTAGCGTAAGGATAGTTCAGAGGCTGAAGTCCTGAACCAAAGAAGTGACCTGCCCTGAAAGTTTGGGAGAGGGTGAAATAATTTTGATCAATCAATAATTTCTTGATTTTTAATAGAAAGTCATTTTGGACTGGAGAGATAGCTCAGTGGCATAAGCACCTGTCTGAGGTAACACAAGGTCCTGAGTTTGATCTCTGGTATCAAAAAAAAAAAAAAAGTTGTTTAAATTTAAATCCTCAATGGACAAATTCAAAGTTTTGTTTAAAAGTTTTTAAATAAAATATCTGGTTTACAATCAAACAATTTTCTCAGTGTATTTTGGTCTGGTCATGGATTATGAATGTTCAGAATATTCTTTATAGAATTTCCAGGTCTTAGGGCTGGTGATATAACTCAGAGGACTAAGTGCTTACTTAGGTAAAAGTAGGGGCCAAGGTTCAATCCTTGGCACTACTGTGTGCTGCACCGGTCCTGCCCCCAGGCACACTAAGCCAGCAATAGAGTCCGGGCATAGTGCTGCATGCCTGTGATTTCCAGCACTAGGGAGGCACAAATCAGGAAGATACACTAAGAGTCCAAACTGCGTAGTGAAGACCCTGTACAAAAAAAAAAAAAAAAAAAAGGAATTTCCAGTTCTTAGAAAACCTTCATGCCCTCCTAAAAATGTGATTACAAGGACAGTACTACAAAGAACAGGCTTGCAGTTCACCCCTCAACTTTTAACACAACACATGGTTATGTTGAGCTTTTCATCAGGATGCCCTGAAATCATTTTGGAACCACCTTGCCCCTGAAGCCCAAGGTGGGGCACCAGTGCAGGGGGAGAATATATAGGTATGTTAGTCCTGACCTCGGTAATATACAAGTGTCTGACCACAGGGAAAGACCGGCTGGCTTTGCAGCAAGTCTGGGTAGGTGTATCTATGATGTAAAACTCCAAGATCGTGGGGTTGGTGTAGTAGATCCCCTGCATAAATAGAACGCAGCTGCCTCATTATGAAGAATTAGTTTTGTAAATGAAGAAAGTGAGGCTCTGAAGAGCTGAGTCCCCATTTGGTAAGTGACTGAGCTGAGGCTTAAGCCAAAAGACTCCAGGGACAGATGTGCTGGCCCAGAACCCGTGCAGGGAAGCGCTTCATAGCAGGGAAAATGCAAGGTATGGAAGAATCTTTTAAGTCAGAATTTTTGCCATAAGCAGTATTGTTTTAAAATTTAACTTAGGTGTTTTTTTAGGCCTGTACCATCCTCCACTTCAATGTATCCAAACTATTTCAAATTCATTAAATATGTCTAAAGGTATCGTTTTTTAAAAAGCATGCATTCAAGGCTAGTGTAAATGCACCCCCCCCCAAGCTGTGGCACTGTGGTGGTGGCTTGGAAGGTGTGACCAGGCAAGGGGACAGGTGTTCAGGAGAGCCTGCCTGCATCCCTTCCACATGCAACTGCCAGGGCAAAAATCTGCTTAAGTCTTAAGGGCTTCTCTTTGGTAGAACATGGCCAAAGTGGCCATCATGTGGGCACCTCAGCACTGGTATTTGTTATGTGGACTGGTCATTAAATGCACGCACACAGGTGAAGAGCAGATGCGGAGGCCTACTCAAGATGAGAAGTTGTGGGAAAAGTGACTGTAGCACAGGCCACATTCCCATTCATAGGGACAAATGGGGACCCCTCAGACAAATCTTGTGTCTAAAAGGGCACAAAGGGTGGGTTATACTGTGCTATTCTGACACAATTTCAGGCTGTCTCTGTACCTTTCCTGACGTAAGTGTACCCATCTTGTCTCTGAAATTTGGGAACACCTAAGATACTACCAAGGAAAGCACTCAATTCCTTTGTTAGGTATCAAAAATGTTGAGATGTTGATCTGTAGCCAGAGAAATTGGACCATAGAGCCAGAGCAGGTTCTAGGTGCAGGGAAACCCAGGGCTAAGGGGGAAGAAAGGAAGGGAGGAAGGAAGAAAGCATTTGAGAGGCTGAGGCAGGAGGATCACTGAGTTTGAAGCCAGCCTGGACTACACAGCAAGACCCTGTCTCAAAATAAATAAATAAATAAATAGCCTTCAGGAAGACAATGTGCAAAATACCTGCCTATCTGGATGCTGGAAATAGTCTTCCAATAGACAGCAGGACCCTCTAGCCTGGCCTCCAACTCCTTCCTTAAAATTCAGAGCTAAGACAAAAGTAAAAAGTAGTTCCCAATACAAGCACCAAGGGGCAGGAATTTCTATGAATGACTTCACTATCTGAAGCAATGATAAAAAATACTCTTTTCTGGAGCTGGCCCTCACTACACATTTGTAGAAATAGATAGTGATTCTGCATATAAATGAAAATGGGTATAAATATCTAAAGAACATGGCTGTGAAAAGCCAGCTGAAGTTAGGACACACTATTAGTGAATTGGCCACCACTACCCAGAGTAGAAGATCGTCAAAGGTTCTGTTTTGGGGGAAACCAGGGATTGAACTCAGGCCTTTGCGCTTGCCAGGGAAGCACTTATTCCACTGAGCCATCTCCCTGGCCCCTAAAGGTTCTAATTAAAAGTACTGTGGTTGTAAGGAACAGAAATGCCCTTGGTGTGTCAAAACCTGAAAAACAGCTTGCTTGGGGGTCTGGGGCACTGTAAAGCTCCAGGGAAGGCAGAGGGTGTGGACAAGCAGGCAGCAGTGTGCGGAAGCAGCCCCCACAGGCTCGTGGGAGCCAGTTACACACAGTATTTCCCAACTGCTTGTTCAGCGACATCCCAGTGGAATATCTAAATAGGCGAGCTGGGGTATGTGCACCAAGGAGATCAGGAAACAGTAGATTCACTTTCCGTTTTTTCCATTTTCTTTTTTTGGGGTGGTGGTGGTATGGCTACTGAACTCAGGACCTTGCACTTGCCAGGCAAGCACTTCTTCCACTGAGCCATCTCCCCGGCCTGAAAACAGTGGAATTAAGAGCCACCTTCCCCGCCCCCCTTTTCCTCTTTTGCCTTCCCTCCCCTCCCCTTCACTTCCCGTCTTTATCCTTCACTTTCTTTATCTTTAGAGTCAGTCAGTTGTTAAAAGTTACAGACACGTCAGTGTAATCAGGCCGTGAGCAAGAGCCAGGGAAATTCAGGGGCCTCAGCGGCTGAAGCCTGTGGACCCTCCCTCCCAGAGGCCTGCCGTAAATGTGGCCCACCTCCAGCTATTTCCAGTCTCAGGGTTCCTTCTTCCCATACTGAATTCTAAGTAGTGCACTGCTATGATTGCACCACATAGGAGGCGGAGGCGGAGGATTGTAAGTTTGAGGCCACCTGGGCTACACAGCAAGACCCTATCTCAAAAAACAAAAACCTAAGTTGCTCAGAAGGAAAATTCAAAGGGCATGCATGGCTGCCATGCGCGCTCCCAGCAGCCACGCCGTTGGAGGATGGCTGTACCACAAGTCGGTTCTCTGCTGCCTGTGGTTTGAGCTGGGGGAAGAAGGCTACCTTCTAAAAATACATCCCAACCTGCCCTTACCTACAAGTCCTGGCTCTGAGCCACACTTACAGAATACTCCTTCTTCTTTTAAATTCTTTTTTTTAAATTTATTTGTGTGTGTGTGTGTGTGTGTGTGTGTGGCCAGCTCAGCCCACCAGGGGGTGGGGCTGCGGGGCTGGCTGGCATGTGGTGCTGGGGGATCGAACCACAGTCCCTGTGCTTTGCTAAACTTGCTCTAAGTAGGTGCTTTAGACCACTGAGCCATCTCACCAGCCCAGAATACTCCCTCTTGCCATGATCTGAAAATGCTGTGCAGGTCCTCGCCTAATAGCAAGCCACTGACTCTACAGGCAGTGTTAGGGGTCAGGCTTCTTAAGAGTCTCCAAGCAATAATTATTTCACTGGGTCCCTTAGCTCTTCTGATTGGTTGTTCTATAATCTGAAATACATGACAAATTTAGTTCGGGGCTAGGAAGATAGCTCAGTGGTCTAAGTGCCTGCCTGGCAAGTGCTAAGGCCTGGGTTCAATCCCACAGTACCACATGCCATGCCAGCCCTGGAACTGGCCACTGAAACCAGGCATGGTGGCACACGCCTATAATCCCAGCACTGGGGAGGCTGAGACAGGAGGATCATTATGAGTCCAAGCTGCATAGTGAGACCCAGTGCCAAATAAATAAATAAATGACAATTAAATAAATAAATTTAGCTCATACTAAAACATACTATAGCCAATAATAGGAGAGGCAGGAAGAAAGAGAGGAATGATTACAAAAACTCCCATTTAAAAGAAGGAAAAAGTATCTGGACATGGTGCTACATGACTGTAATCCCAGCTGTCTGGGCAACTGAGATAGGAAAATGGGAAGCTTAACGCCAGTCTGAACAACCTAAGGAGACCATGTTTTGAAAGGGTGCTGGTGGTCTAGTTAACAGTAGAGTGCTTGGCTAGTATGTATGAGGCCCTGATTTCAATCTCCAGTACCACAAAAATAAAAATAAAATAAAACAGGGAAATAATGGTTCTCTGCTCAAGAAGGGTTTTGGTTTGTCCCTACCAAAATTCATGTTAAGCCCTGGTCCCCAGTGTAACACTGTAAAGGGTTGTCAGGGACTTTAAGAATGGTCAGTGCTTAGGACTGGGAAGATAGCTTGGCAGTCTAAGTGCAAGGACCCAGGTTCGATCCCTGGTAGCACATGCTATGCCAGCCTCAGAGCCCTGGACGTGCGTGGTCGGCCACCAAAACTGGGCATGGTATTGCACACCTGTAATCCCAGCACTGGGGAGACTGAGACAGGAGGATCACTAGGAATCTGAGCTATATAGTGAGGCCCTGTACTAAATAAATAAAAGAATTTAAAAAACTAAAAAAAAAAAAAATGGCCAGTGCTTTTCTCTCAGGGTAAGTTCTGACTCTCGTGGGCTGACTGGGTGCTGAAAGTGGATTGCCATGAAGCAAGCCCAGCAGTCCCTCCCTCACCATCTTTGTCTCACAAACCTACTCTTCTACACAAATCATTTCACCACTCCAATTTTTTGTCATGAGCCGAATTGTCATGAAGCCCTTACCAAAAGCTAGGCAGAGGCTGGTGCTATATTCGTGGACCTCCAGAGCCAGGAATTAAATAAGCTTCTTTTCTTTATAAAATACCTCGTCTCTAACACTTTGTTGTAGCAGCACCATACTCACTAAGACAAGGAGCATTCCCTTGCTCTGGAATCCAGTGGGTCGCTGCTATAAGCTTTCTTTCAAAGCTAGCTTCATCATTCATCTACCATTCCAGCCTATCTCAGATCCGTTGGGCCATGTACTTTATAATTTGTCCTAAGGGTCTAGTGGCAAGGTAACTTGCCTATAGCCTGGACCAGTGGGAGAAATTGGTCTTGTCCAGAGCTCCTCTGGAAGCTCCTTCTCGGCAGCCATGTGTGTGAGACATTAGCTCCAATACCCAAAGAAGCCTGATATGGTTTAAATATGAAATAAGAAAGAGAACAAAGATTATAGCGACTCCCATGTAAAAGAAGAGAAAGATGCCTGGACATGGTGGCGCGTGACTGTAATCCCAGCTACTTGGGAAACTGAGACAGGAGGATGGGAAGCTTAAGGCCAGGCTGAGTAGCCTATATTGAAGACTTGATCCCCAGTGCAGAGGATGGGGCCTATGGAAGTGACTGGATAGTGAGGGTCCTAGCCTCATTAAGGGATCGGATGATTTCATAGATGAATAGGAGGTAGGGCCTGGTTGAAGCAGGTCCTTGTGGGTATATTCATTCATTCATTTATCCATCCATCCATCCATTCATTCATCCAGTCTCCTCCCCACCTTCGTGGCTGCTCTAAGGTGAGCAGCCTGCATCTCTCATACCATTGCTCCATGACATTTCTGCTTCTCTGCAGGCCCATGGACCGACACCTCTGCAACTATCAGCCAAAACAAATCTTTCTTCCTTTAAGTTGACTTTCTCGAGTATCTTGTCACCATGGCGAAAAGCTGACTTGTAGCATATGCCTGTGGGGATTAAACCCTTTTCTTAGTGAAAAGAGGCATAAAACACTGGTTCTCCGATTTGGCTGTAGTTTCTAGCATTTTCTAGAGCGCACATAGTTGTGCACAAGTCTCACCGCAAAGATTCCTGTTCACTCGGCATCGAGTGGAGCCTGGGATGGAGCATCCCGTGTGATTCAGATATAGGACAGAATTTAAGAATAACTGGCACAAAATACAGTGATTAGCCCTGCAACTGCTGGATGTGGTTTTCCTTGCATTTTTGTTGTTTAGGACTTGTTAAACTTCCTCACTCTGTAAGTGTATAATTTTCTTTTAAATAAAATTTGGCAAATGTTTGCTATAATTTACCCTTTTTTCTGCTTATTTTCTTTATTTCTGGGAGCCCAGTTACATGTATGTTAGACTGCTTAATATGGTCTCATAGGTTACCACTTTTTTTTCAGAGAAAAAAAATAGCAATAGAACAGAATTTCAAAACAGTTAGTAGGAGCCAACAATAATACATTGTGTATTGTTGTCTTCACAGTAGCTATTCAGAGTACAAGATACAGGCATAACATCTTGTCCAAACAAGATTAGCACAAACCTTTCTTTTCGAAAGAAACTGGATATATAACTATGTTAACTATTTTGTGTAAAAACATATTTTTTCCTGTTCCCTTCCTCCCTTCCCCTTTTCCTCCATCACAGCCTGCCTTTTCTTTTGAACAGTTTCTTTCCAAGTTACAACAGCTATTGCACATTTTGAATCTTACTTCCTTTTCCAGTTTCTCACATAAGGGAGAGGTTCCGATGTTTACACAGATGGGTCTGATTTATTTCACTTATGAGTCGCATCCATGTACATATAAAAGTCTCCAGTTTATCCTTCTTTAAGGCTTTTGTTTACTTATTTTATCAATCATTTTCCTCTCTTCTTTACAGGAGATGATTAACATTGACTTTTCTTTCATCTCATTGACCTCTTAGATTTCAGGGTTTAATCTTTTGGTCAGTCTATCCAATAAAGTAAGCCATGGGAAAGCCTGACTCTCTGAGATTTATACTAGCTGACTTAAGAAACATTGGCTATTTTTATTTTATGTATTTATTTACTTATATTTATATATTTTCTTGAGACAAGGTCTCATAGTGCAGTTCAGGTTGATCTTGAACTCACTCTGTAGCCCAGGCTGGCCTTGAACTAGCAACAATCTTCCTGCATCAGCCCACGATGTGCTGGGATTATAGGTGTGCACCACCACACCCGGCTCACACATTGACTATTTTTAAAGTTCTAGAAGAATGTCTTGGGGTTTGTTTGTTTGTTTGCGGAACTGGGGATTGAACTCAGACCCTTGCACTTATTCTACCGAGCCATCTCCCTGGCCCCTAAAGTTCTAGAATGTCCATTGCCTTTGTGGCTTCCATTCCTTGGCTTAGAATTTCTTTTTCATTCATTTTGGATGCTTTTTTTTTTTTTTTCCAATGAAATCCTTAAATGCTTTTACAACTGTCTTTAAAGTCCCTGTTTACCACTTTTGACATCTCAGTTATATGGATCTCCTGGGAGAGAGGGAGTTATGACTCACTAGCACAAGAACCATTACTGAAGTTATGGGGTTGTTCTATATCTTAATAAAGGTGGTCATTAGGGTTGGGTATGGCTTAGCAGCACAAGCGCCTGCCTGGCAAGCACAAGGTCCTGAGCTCAATTCCCAGTACAATTCCTCCACCAAAAAAGGTGATAGTCATGAAGTGCACACTTAAAATGAAATGTGCATTTAAGTTACATGTTTTACTGCATGTAAATTACACATCATTTAGGGATTTATTTCAAGGGCTGGCCATATAGCTCAGGTGCAGGGACCGAGGTTTAACCCCAGCCTGTCCTGCTGGTCCCACCCCCAGGGCCTGCTGAGACAGTGATGGAGACTCGGCATGGTGACGCACACCTGTAATTCCAGCCCTTGGGAGGCTGAAAACAGGAGGATCACTACAAGTCCTATTTGTACAGTGAGAGCCTGAAGACCCTATACTAAATACATATAAATAATAAAATAATTTATTTCAAAGCTTTAAAAATCCATTCCCCCAAACAAAAGAAATTTAAAAGATCTTTTATTTTTTTAAAAAACAGGACACAATCTAGTCCCCTGCTAATGAAAATGAGAATCTGCTGGACTAGGAATTTGTCACAGTCACAACTGTCTAATTCTTTCATCATCAGAAAGGAATCTGATGACATCATCATTCAGGGAGGACTGAAAAATACACAAGCTTGAGAGTAACATGGAGCCAACAATGGCATCTGGTTTTTCAACGATTTCAAAACTGCCTGCCTTCATTAGCTACTCCACATCCTCTCTGACTACCATAAATGTTAGAAATCCCAGTGAAGAATCTGCATAAAATAAAATCCCTGTGTGAAAACAAAAGGTAAGAAATTGTCTTTTATTTCAACCAAATTAGGGCCACATCTAGCTCCTTTTCTGCCCATGTGGGAAGACTGAATAACACAAAGGAATCTTGTAAATTTGATGGGTAAAAATCTGAAATCATTGCCCAGATAACCTAAAAAGAGGTGAGTCTGTAGCCCGTGTTGGAATCAACTTTCTACCCAAATCCTTTTGAGAAGGGCCATACGCGTCATGCTGCTGTCGGTCTCTTCTTTTCTTGGGATGAAACTTCATCATACCATGTAACTAAAATAACTATCATCCTTCCTAAGTGTACAACTTTCTAGAGTCTCAGAATTTTCATACATCCCACCTCTCACTGACACTCCATTCAAGGGGTTAATGTGGGAAGTCGCCTTTTCTTTTCAGTAGATAAAGCCCTTTGTGATTTAGAAAAGACAAATAAAGGTTGTAGGACCTCCTACAACACAGCCAGATAAGACCTTCTGCAGCTACCTTAAATAAAATCAAGTGTAGCCAGGAATTCAACTCTTTCCATTAAAAACAGGCGTCCAAGGAATGCTAGTACGTTCATTGCTAGACAATGCCTATTAAGTCATCTGGTGTAGGTCTCAGAGGGTGAGGCTTTCCCATAGCTTACTCTGTACATACTGTGTTGTATTTAATTTATTTTCATGTTTTTCTTCCTAGGAACAATATGAGACACACAACAATAACTCTATTGTTATTGATTTTATTGTCTCTATGGGCCTTGCATAGGAAGTATTATTTCAGGTAAATTTAAAACCAGTGAATGTTTTATTCTGATATTTGATAAGGATCTGGTATGTAAAAACAGGTAAATGGCTCACCCTTGAACAAGCTGTCACCCAAGATGTCAGCATAAATACTATCTTTAGCATCTAAATTCCTTTTTTTCAGTGAGATCAAAGCTAAAAATGATTTTTTTTTTCTATCTAGATGAATAAGAAACACTTTAAAAAACTACCAGCCACTTAATCCCAGCTCTCAGGAGGCTGAAGCAGGAGGATCACTACAAGTTCAAGGCCAGCCTGGGTTACATAGTGAGTTCAAAGCTGGCCAGAAGTATGCAGTGAGACCCTGTGTAAAAAAATAAATAAAAATTTTTTTAAAACCAAAAGAAAAATATCCGACCAGTTACTGTGGCAGTGTAGTGTTTTTAAGTGTTAAAGAGAAATAGCTTTTTGGTTATAGGCTGCATTTTATTTTCTTTGTGAAAAAAAAAAAAAAACCCTAGAGGGAGCTGGGGAGATGGCTCAGTAGAATAAGCACTTGCCTGGCAAGCACAAGGGGCTGAGTTCAATCCCTGGTCCTGGAAAAAAACAAACCCTAAGGTTGTTGATTTCAACTACTACATACTGTATTTACCTACCACAAGTTTGAATAAGAAGAAATACTTCGTTGACAATTAACAAGTTTGTTTAATAATATTAAGTAAGCTTCTCACTTATTTGTGTCTCAAAAAATAGTTGTGGAGGAGTTGCTTTTTTAAGATATAGTGTATGAGACCCTAATTATAATTCTTTTTATCATGCTCATTATTGTATCTATAGAGCCAGCAATGTACTTGGCACAAAGTATATTTGGTAATAGTAGATAATAAAATCAACCAGGTCAATAGATTCTAACTTTAGTTATATTGCATGTGAAAACACTTTGTATACATTAAAAAGTAACAGATTGCTTTTCATTTGTTCTAAGCTCAAAGCAGCTTCAGAGGATGTCTCAGTGCTGGTAAGTCTTTGCCCACAAATATGCTATGGCCCCCTTCTTTGAGGACAAAATCATTTGGAGATCCTTGGGGTACCTGTGATTCCATAGTTCCTATAGACAGTATCAACCAGTACAATTTTATAAACTCATGTTAGAGACAACCAAGGTCATTGTGCCAAGAACACCCCCAAAAAGCAGACTGATGGGGTGCGGCCTCTGGTAGAGGGATAGAAGCTGGTTAGGTGAAAAGCATTACCAGGAGCCCAAACTCCGTCCCCAGTAACCTTGAGTCTTTGAAGGCCCGAGGAGCTAAGCTGGGAAGTCACATTGCTAATGGTACAGTAACTTCCAGTTGCCTGAAAACACACAGAGTAGACTTTGCTAAATGACTCAAGAGACTGCACTGGCCGGTTTCCACCCCGAAAATCACACCATCAGAAGGGGCATAGACAACAAAAAATTCCCGAACATGCCCAAGGTCTAATTCTATTATACAGTTCTTCAGTGACTTCCTACAGTCACGGAGACCCACGTAGTAAAGGAAGGGAGACTTCTATTGTCTCTCTGATGATTTTATAACTACAATCTTACTGCTGTGACCATGCCTAGCTACTTAGGTGACCTGTGCATAAAAGATAACATATTGAAAAACGATGTTACAGGGCTGGCCAAATAGCTCAGCAGATTAAAGTGCCTGCATGCGGGCTCAGGGGCCAGAGGTTACATCCCTTGGCCTGCTGTGCCAACCCCGCCCCAGGAGCGCACTGAGACAGCAATTGAGACTGGGCATGGTGGTATGCACCTGTAATCCCAGCTCTCGGGAAGCTGTAAACAGGCAGATCACTACAAATCTGATCTAGTAGTGAGACCCTGAACACCTTATAGACCCTTCCCTAAAAAAAAAATACAAAAAAAAAAAAAAAGAAAGAGGATGTTACCCGTATATATAGTCATTATTAATAGAGACAGTAACTTCCAGCTACCTGAAAACAACAGAAAAACCTCTAGGCAAAGAAGGAAACATTCAAAGAAAGACTGTTGCAACAGAAGCTGAAGGAAAGAATAGACTATTTTTGGACTAATGTATTTGATGCAATATATTCTAATAATAATTTTATCTATTATTCTAATTATGTTTTTAGCACTGGGGTTCTGTAGCCTCAGTTCTGGCATGAGTTATCAGAAGTCGATGGATCTTGGCGTGAGTGTTCGAATGCATGCATGTCTGGGGCACACCCGTAAGCACAGCTGCTCCTGTCTGTGTACACAGGAACCAGGACAGCCCTATGAAATAGGACAGCGTCCTAGTTGCCGATCTCTCCATTAGCTCAGCCCATGCCCAACTCTCCAGAGGTGCCCTGGCCTGTAGAGTGCGTGGCAGAAAGGAAAAGGGGCAGCCAGGCAAAGCTGCGCATCTCTTCCCAGGTGACTCTAGGCAGGATAATGCAGGCTCTTTGTGCCTCTGTTTCCCTCACTGGTAAAATAGTGAGCTAAAATACTAATGGTCTCTATCTCCTCTAGGTACTGTGTGAGATAAATTAGATAACACTTAGGAAGGTGTTCAATAGATGTTAGTTCTTCATGAAGACTCTAATCACATCTAGCAGCCCAGGCAAAGCTTCCTGATACTTAAGGAGAGATCGGAAAGCTATGTGGGATGCTGGTGGGGTTTAAGGTAATTTAAAGCTGGTGGCAGCTTTAAGGTAATTTAAAAATATCTGGAGGGCAGGAAAATGATGATGGTAAAGGCCTGGTAGGAGATGGGACTGGAGCAGAATGAGGGACAGGACACACAGAGCATCGTGGCCACATAAGGAAGGGGGGACATAATCCTAATAATCCTTTGGAGAAGCTCCTAAAACTTGTGCCAAACAGTGACATAGTAAAACTGGAGTTCTAGTAACTGAGCAAAAATTTGGAAAATGGGTTGAAAAGGGATGATATGAGGACAAGAGAGAGCAACACCTGGCTGATTCTGAGGGGAGGGACTAGGGGAGTCCATTACATTGTTCTCTTTGCCCTATAGTCTTCCTTTAAAGCATACAGGCCAGGGGTGTAGCTCAGTGGTACGATACTTAAGGAGCATGCATAAGGGCCTGGGTTACATTACATCACACACACACACACACACACACACACACACACACACACACACACACAGGGGCAACCAACAGGCAAGCTACTGCAATAACCCAGACAAGAAATATTGGTGACTAGGGTTCGATGTCCCGTCCCGCATGCCACACCGGCCCTGCCCCCGGGGCACACTGAGCCAGTGGCAGAGTGTGGGCCTCATGGTGCCCGCCTGTAATCCCAGTGCTGGAGAGGCTGAGAACAGGAGGATCACTGCAAGCCTGATCTGTGTAGTGAGACCCTGTACCACACACACAAATGAAAAAACAGGTGGATCACTACAAGTCTGATCTAGTAGTGAGACCCTGAACACCATGTAGACCCTTCCCTAAAAAAAAAAAAAAAAAAAAAAAAAGAAATATTGGTGACTTAAATTCATATGGTGGCAGGAAATAGAAAGAAGTGGCAGAGTTGAGGAATGTTTGGGAAGCCAAGCTGGTAGTGTTTAATGCCAGACTTAGTGTTGTGCGTAGAATGACTCCCACGTTTCTGCCTTGCCAGTCCAGGCGGGTCTGTTGAAATACTGCAAAGTATGAAGAGAGAGATGAAGATGTGACCATCAGACATCCCCACTGTGTGGTGTGGCAAAAATTTAAATAGAGGGCCGGTGAGTTAGCTCAGCGGTCTAAAGCACCTGCTTAGGCAAGCTTAGGCAAGTGCACAGGGACTGTGGTTCAATCCCCGGCACCACATACCACGCCAGCCCCACCCCCAGGGTGGGCTGAGCCGGCCACAAAAAAGAAAAAAATAAATTTAAATAAAGAACTTCAGAACGTAGTTAAGTGTTCCAGTCTTGAGTTCATGGGAGAGCTCTAACCTGGATGCCAGAATATGAAGCCTTAGGAAAGTGCCAGATGAGAGAGCGACATGAAGCCAAAGGTTCTAGGTGAAACCTTCCTGAGAATAATTGTCAAGTCCCAAACCAAGACTCTTGAGCAAATAAAGCCGTTAGCATTGTTAAAGAAGGAAAACAGTTTAGTGCAGAAGGAAAAATTGCCAGCGATTGCAGAAAATTGAGGGAACTTTAATCTAATGGCTGCTATTTTCTATGGGAATTAGGTGAGTAAGAATTTTTAGAAACAAAGATTTCTGGGCAGCTCAGAGAGTTGTTGATGTTAGAAATCAAGATTGTTTTGTGCTATCCCGTGGTAGGGCGCCTCCTGCCTGTTGGGGTGGGGACTGTTCACAAGGCAGCGTTACCAGCCTCTGGCTTGTGTAGATCTGATGTAACTCTGTAACGTCAGTCATGCCCTGCCAGCCTGCAACATGCAGCTGTGAGCTCATCTAAGCGAGGCAAAGACCCAAAAATTGTCTAAAAGGATGCAACTAGGACAAGGTCTGCGCTCAGCCTTTGGGGGCCGATCTGCTGAGTCGGTGCCAGCTTAAATAAAGCTGCTTCCTGGGGAAAAGGCTCGGCGTCCTGTCTCTCTACACGAAAGTCCCACACCGCCATCGCCATTAACATTGATCCATGTTTATCTTATTGCTTCACTCTTACTTTGTGTCTTATTATAATACAGCTCCTGATTTGATAAATACTCAAGCATCTCAACCTCTAGTGGATATAGTATGACTCTCGGTATTGGTTTCCTTTTAGGTTCCAGGCACGTCAAAGAGAACTGCAGCTATCAGACTGGTTCCACCCCGTGTAAGCATGCAAACCTTGCACACGTGAGGTTTATCCATGAACGTCAATAGATGCCAACAATACCACTATTGAGATCTGTGATGTCGGAGAGAAGGTGGATCTTTGGTTACAGTGTTCTTAAAAACAGGCTGTAGCTAAGGCCAACAGGGGCTGGACATTTGGACCGTGCCCTTCATGAATGAGAGCTGAGACATCCTCAAAGGCCTGGAAAAGTGGCAGACACACAGTGGGAGGCACTTAGGACGGCATGGTGGATTCTGCTCTGTGCACCCAGAGGAGCTGGGCCCGGGGGGGCCGGTGGCTGCCTGCACACAGCGTCCCCTAGCCCAACAGCTCTGCTCCCATCTTTTCACCCTACCTACTTGTCTTTCACTGTAAGGCCTCAGGCTTTACATAACCTCCCTAATTAAAACTTTGAAAGGAGATTTCTAGGTTTAAGATCAACCCTTGTAACAGCCCATGACTCATGGTCTCTGAACACTTCCACTTTTATCAGAGTCTAATCAGAGCACAGAAAGTACACCAGTTATTTAGGCTTAAAATACTGAATGATTAACTACTCTAAATCACTGGCTGTGGGAAGGGGGACCTCAGTGGTATCGTGGGGTAACACCTACAGGAGCTATTTCCACCAGGGCTGGAGAAGCAGAAGGAAGAGGCTAGAGTCATTCAACTTTAGACATATAGAGAAGTGGTTCTCAGGGCTTAAGCTCCAGTGCTGTCCAGGGTGTCTCTGCCCATTACGAAGACCTCCTGGGGCTGGGGTCCAGGAGCGGAGCATGAAGAGGCTGGTTGGTTTTGTAAATGCTGGAAAACTTGGGAAGTGGCTTGAGCTGGTGCTCTGGAACGGAGTTTTGATTGTTGAGCTGAAGAAGCATCGATGCTGGAATGGGGTTTGCTGGAGCAGGAAGCTGACAAGCAGCCCACAGGAAAAGAGCCAGCGAGCTGCTGCTTCCCCTGCCTGAAGGCAGCCCTGGAGAGGGAGAAGTGGGCCTGCAGGGTCCCAGCTCCAGGTGAATCAAGCGGAGCAGAGTGCTGGGGCCCAGTTACGAAGTCAGTGCCTTGGTAACTGGTCCCGTCGATGGGACCAGCAAGGTGTATCCTGGTAACTCCAGGTGATGGTTCATCACAGCAGTAGGACAAAGGAGAAAGCGAAGTAGACATTTCAGTCCATTCCAACAGACTACTGACAGAACCTAATTCCCACTATAGATTTCCTTGCTTCCCATCAGTGCTGAATACCTTTCCATATAATTATTGGCCACTTGGATGCTCACCTTTTAAAGTGTCAGTTAAAGTCAATCTCTTTCCACTCACCACCATTATCTAACGCAAAGACATCTGCGTCACACCCAGAAGGAACATCCTTCTCACTGAGCAGCAACTCCCCGTTATCCAGTTGCTCACAACCTCTGGAAAGTGCTGATTTGCTTCCTGTCTCTATGGATTTACTTATTCTGGACATTTCTTTTTTTTTTTTGCAGTACTGGGGATTGAACTCAGGATCCCGCACTTGCCAGACAGGCGCTTATTCTACTGAGCAATCTCCCCAGCTGGACATTTCGTGTAAATGAAATCCAATCATCTAGCACGGGGTGTTTGGCTTCTTTAAGTTAGTGTGTTTTCAAGGTCTCTTCCGTGCTATCACATGTATCCGTATTTTATCCCTCTTTATAGCTGAATAATATTCTACCAGGTGAACATATCAGATGTCTTTATCACGAAATAGATACTAGGTTTTCTGTTTACATTTTTGGCTCTTACCAATACTGCTGCCATCGGTATTCACGTACAAGTTCTTATTTGGACACATCTTTAATTCTCTCGGATATGTAAATGTAATTACTGGATTACATGGTAATTCTGTTAAATTTTTGAGAAACTATCAAATTGATTTCCACAGCAGCTGTACCATTTTACATTCCTGCCAATAATGCATGACTGTTCCAGCTTCTTCATATCCTTGCCAAGATTTCTTTTTTCCTTTCCCTTCCCCTCCCCTCCTCTCCTATCCCTTTCCTCTTCCTCTTCTCTCTCTCTCTCTCTCTCTCTCTCTCTCTCTCTCTCTCTCTCTCCCTTCATTTCCTTATTGTTTTTCTGGAGAGAAGATTTCCCTGTGTAGTCAAGAATGGGCTCAAACTCATGGTCTTCTTGTGTGGGCCGTTCAAGTTCTAGGACTGCAAGCATGCAGTTATCTGTTACAGGGCCGGGGAGATGGCTCAGTAGAATAAGCGCTTCCCTGGCAAGTGCAAGGGCCTGAGTTCAATCCCCGGTTCCGCAAAAAAAAAAAAAAAAGAACAGTTATCTGTTATGGTGTTTGTGCTTCTTGCTGTGTTCACCAGGCTGGTCTTGAACTCCTGGGCCCTAGTGCCCGTCTGCCTGAGCTTCCAAATGGCTAGGGCTGCAGGTGCGCACCAGCCACTGCTCTGGTGTACTCTGTCCTCTGTCTTTGGCATCCTACTGTGTGAAATAGTTTTCCTTCACATCCCACTAATGCTTGTTGAGCTTCTTTTCATCTGCTTATTGGCCTTTTGTAGACAGGCAGAAATGCCTGGGTATTGTAAAACTGGGTTTAATTTTTTTTATTGTAAAAAGAATAGAGTTGTAAAGTTGAAGTGTTAGAATTCTTTCCATATTTGGATATAAACTCTTCTCAGATGTATGCTTTATATATTTTTTTCTCCCTTGCTATTGACTGTTTTTCCCTTTCTGTATCTTGTTGTTTTATGAAAAAAAGTTTTGGTTTTTGATGAAGTGCAATTTGCCTATTTTGTTGTTGTTGCCTCTATTTTGGGTGTCATATTTTAAAAACACTGCCAAGTTCAAGTTATGTCTTTACTTATATTCACTTCAATGCATTTCTTTTATTTTTATGTTTATCTATTTATTTATTTTTGTGGTACTGGGGATTGAACTCAGGACCCTGCATTTGCTAGGCAAGCGCTTATTCTACTGAGCTATCTCCCTGCCCTAAATTAATTGTTTTCTATATCTATGATTATTTTCTGGTGCCAGGAATTGAACTCAGAACCTTGCACTTATGAGGTAGACACTGTACCCCTGAGCTATATCCCTGGCCCTATGCATTTCTTAACTTCCTTTGTCATTTCTTCTCCAACCTGCTGGTTATTTAAGAGCATCTTTTCAAGTTTCCACGTATTAGTCAAGTTTTAGATTTTTCTGTCATTTATCTCTAATTTTATTCCACCACTGATGTCTCTTTGTTAAAGGAGGAAAAGTTTATTTAAGAAAGAAAACTCTCATACTCGGTAGAGGTTTCGGCCCATCATCAGCTGGCTCCAGGCCAGAGGGCGGGCACATGGCAGAGGGGTAAGAGTTCATAGAAGCAGCAGCAGAAAAGAGCAAAAGCAGGGGGAGGGAGGGAGAGAGGGGGCTGATGTCTTTTTCAGTTTATTGAGATTTGTGTTGGGGGTAACTTACAGTCTAGCTTGTGCCTTGTTCCACGTGTACTCCAGAAGAATGTGCGTTCTGTTGTTGGGTAGAAAGTTCTATGTATGTGTGATTCTGTTTTTCTTCTCAAATCTTCTGTTGAAACACTACAATGAGATTTTTCATTTCAATATTTGGATTTCTTGGCTCCAGAATTTCTATTTAGTTCCTTTTAATATTTTCTGTATCTTTATTGATATTTTCTATTTGTTGAACCATTGTTTTTCTTAGATACGTTCTTTCTTTTTGAGACAGGGTCTTGATATGCAGCTCCCACTGGCTTTGAGCTCACTTTGTAGCCCAGGCTGGTCTTGAACTCACAATGATCCTCTTGTCTCAGCCTCCTGAGTGCTGGGATTACAGGTCTGCACTACCCTGCACAGCCTTAGTTGGTTTCTTCTAGTTCTTTGTCTACAGTTTCCTTTAGTTCTTTGACTATAATTAAAAGGTTGGTTTAGCTGGGGTGTGTGGCACATTCCTATAATCCCAGATACAGGCAAGAGAATCACAATTTGGAGGCCAGCTGGGGGGCGCTGCAAGACCTTGCCTCATGGTAGAATAAATAAGAGGGAGGCTGGAGATAGAGCTCAGAGAGGTAGCTCACTTACCTAGCATGTGCAAAGCCCAGTGTGCTCCATGCTTAATATTTGATTGAAAGTCTTTGTCTAGTAAATATAATGTCTCGCATTCTTGAGGATGGTGTATGCTAGTTTTTCCTAAAAATCGTCATACTTCCTTGCTTTGCATACTTACACTTTTTTGTTAAAATATAGACATGTTGATTTTCATTGTTTTTATCCTCCTTAGAATTCTATAGATTGTAGTTTGTTTGTTTAGAACTTTCCTAAATAATTTTGAAAGATTATTTTGTCTTCTTTTGGTCTCTGGGATATCTGTTCCCTTAGCTTGTGGTCAGCTAGGGGTTGACAGAGATGTCGTTCAGGGTTTGCAGGGCAGATAGAGAAAGAAGAAGAAAGAAAAAGAGGGGGAAGAAAGGGGAGGGAGAAAAAGAAAGAAGAAAGAAAGGAAGAAAGAAAGAAGGAAAGATGAGAAGAGGGCCAGCCAAGTAGCTCAGCTGATTAAAGTGCCTACAAGCAGGCACAGGGGCCTAGGGTTTGATCCCCGGGGCCTGCCCTGCCCCCGGGGCTCTCTGAGACAGCGATTGAGACTGTAGCACACGCCTATAATCCCAGCTCTTGGGAGAGGCTGTAAACAGGAGAATCATTACAGGTCCGATCTAGTAGTGAGACCCTGGACACCCTGTAGACTCTTTCCTAAAAAATACAAAAGGGGGAGGGAAGAGGACAAGAGGAGTAAGAATGGGAAAGGAAGGGAAGGGGAAGGGAATGGCGATGCCTGGGCCTGGTGGGGAGCGAGGAGCAAGAGCAATCTCTCTATCCGCAGGTTGGCGCATTTCCAGCTTGCCCTGAGCCTCCATTAGGGTCTTCTTGGTCATTTCCTGCCCTGGGTGTGTGCTTGGATTTCTTTCTCTTTCTCTCTTTCTTCTTTCATGTAGTTAGTACAGGGTCTCACTATGCAGATAGAACTCCTAGTGAAAGGCCTCATTTTTCAAAACAGCTTTCTTCCTCTGTGTCCCTCCCAGGCTTTTAAAATTTCTAGTGTTTGCACCAAGTCTAATTTTGCCCGGGTGGTAGGGGCTTGTTTCTTGTTAAAATGTTCTCAAGGAGCACCCTTGCGTTAGTGGTCAGTGAGGGGAGACAAAGGCAGCGCTCTGTGTGGGTCCTAAAGGCACCCTCAGACAGGCTAGAGCAGGCACACGCAGCTCCTCGGGAGTAAGCTCTACCCATCGCGCTCCAGAACGGGAACGCGCCCTGCACATGTGGGGTGCCACCTGCAAAATGGCCACCACTCTCTGGAGCAAGCAGGGACAGGCCTGAGTCAGAGGACCGCAAGCTCTGCCACTCCTGCCCCTTCCTCCTGGGCTGCTCTAAACCTTGGACTATTTTCTGTTGTTCTGGCCAAGCTCGTATTAACAGCATGCAGCCATATTAGCACTGGCAGCGTAGACACACCGAGAAATTTATTTTTAAAACAGCAAAAACAAAAGCATGGCTTTTGAAAATGATGTCAAAGACTGGGTATAGTGGCACACACCTGTAATCCCAGCGATTGGAAGGCTGAAAACAGAAGTGAGACCCTGCAAACCCTGTACTAAATACCAAGAAAGAAAGAAAGAAAGAAAGAAAGAAAGAAGAGAGAAAGAAAGAAAGAAAAGAAAGAAAGAAAGAAAGAAAGAAAGAAAGAAAGAAAGAAAGAAAGAGAAAGAGAAAAAGAACGTCAAAAAACCTAAGACTAGGAGATTTGGCTAGAGAAATTGTTACTTTAGATTGTGGGAGACATTTTAACTATGTATTTTCAAAGATTCAGTACACCCCTCATCGCTAATCTGTATGTTGACGTTTGGAATGACGCAGCCGTTTCCAATACATTACTTCTCGAGTTTATCCGCTCATTAAGGCATTGCATTAGACACAAGGAGCTGCACCAGCCAGACGCAAGACCTTGTGCTCTAATAATGCCTCTTGGTGGTTTACGATGATGTATTTTATTTTAAAATCCTGTGTCTTTCCTACAGACACATAGCAGAACTGAACAGGAACTTGAGTGTCACGGAGTGGTCAGCTCCGGTCGTGTGGCACAACAGTTACGACTACGGGATCCTGCAGAAGTATTACGCGCAGCGCAACGTCACTGTGGGGTTGACCGTGTTCGCTGTGGGCAGGTAGGGAACGACGTCCGACGCCCCTCACCGTCAGATGTTTGGTTCTCGAAAATGCAACTCTGGGTTGCATGTCATCATTCCACTGAAAGACTTCTCTCGAGGCAAATCCCTGCCGTGATTCTAAATAGCGTCACCCTCTTGGTCCACTCAAACACAGAAATCTCAATCCCTCGGTTCCTTTTCTGACTTTACGGTTTTTTCTAAGCACTGACCTGGTTTCCTCGGTCTATGGCCATCATTTAACACGGCTTGGGCTTCTGTCATTCCCTGTCTCCGTTGTCTCCATCCTGGATTAACCTAATAGTTTGCTCTTCCCTCCCGTGCTTTCTCCAAGACAAAAATTGCCTAGCTGTGCTTACCGATACTGCGCAGGCGCCCTGGCTCAGTCTAGAACAGAAGAGGCCCCCGCGATCACCTGCAGAACGTGGCAATAGGCTGCGTTTTCTGGCCACCAGTCACGATGGAGAAGAATAAAGAGTACCTAAGATCACTCAGTAATTTTAAAAGAGAAGCCAATTTGTACTTCATTCTTAATCAAATAGAAAATTAGAATCACTAAGGTAGACCCCTAAAAGAATTGCTAGGAACTATTTGCATTTAGAGATGGAAGAGCACGGCTATAGCACCGATCACCTGTCTTCTGAAATCCTATAAAGTAACAAGCTATGGATAAAAAGGGAAAGAAGGCTTTCAGTCCAGTGAAAGCTGGAAGCATCCCACATCACGCATGTAGCTTTGGTGTAGAAGACATCAAATTTGGTCTGTGTAACTGCAAGCTGTGAAGAGTCCTGAAAAAAGTAAGACTGACTCTCTATCTAGAATAGTGCAGGGGCCAGCCAAATACCTCAGCGGATTAAAGCGCCTGCAAACAGGTGCAGGGGTCCGGTGTTTGATCCCAGGGCTTGCCATGCGGGTCCCGCCTCCGGGACACGCTGAGATGGCAATTGAGACTTGGCGGGGTGGCCCGCACTTGTAATCCCAGCTCTTGGGAGGCTGTAAACAGAAGGATCACTATGAGTCCAATCTAGTAGTGAGACCCTGAACACCCTGTAGAGTAGTGTGATCTAGAAGTATAAGTAGACCATAGTGGCACCCATTCAGGTGTCCCCTTCCACAGTAGTAGTGCTGCTCAGCGGAGATGAATCTATTCATGGTACATATCTCAGCAGATTTCTTTTCTTGTCTTTT